CTCTGAACGAGATACATCGCGCGACTTGTATCTCACAGTCACAAAGACAAAGATCCCTCGCTATGGCCTTAACAGACCGTTGGCGCAAGTGCTGTTAGCGAGCACCTGCGAAGGCCGGCACGGCGCACGAGGGAGTGGGTGGCCAGCACCACGCCCGGCTGCCTTTGTCTCCCCAGTGGCAAAGTTTACACACCGCACCATTTGGGACTGAGCCGACCTAGGGCAAGCCTTGTACCGGTTCAGATAGTCGTCGCCGGCGTTGGCCGTGAGCGGGAATCGAACTCGTGTATCCGGGTTCGTAGCGCAGCGTAGCGCTAACCGCTGCACCACCGCTCCCCCAGTCGCACGCATCAGGGCCACCGTTGCTCCCCTACGCGTGGCGGACTAAACGGCCGCCCGCAGGCCAGCAGGGCGTCACGTTGTGCCGCTGCAGGGACAGCTGCCACTGGGGGGGGGCCCTGTGAACGTGTTGAGATGCACGGCGCTGCGAGTTGCCGAGGTACTGAGCAGGTCATCTCCCCAACCCTAAAACCTTCACTGGCCAAGAACACCTCGACGTATATAGAGAGAGAGAGGGCTTGGGCAATTGTTGGTAGCGCCGGCTCATCACCACCACGTGGCTGCCGCTGCAGCGGCCTTGTGTATGTGTACGTTGAACTTCTTTCGCGCCGTACATACGGAGGTGCGGGGAAGTCGGAGGTGGCTTCATGCTCGTCTGTGGCTCCTCTGGGGGTTGGGGTGGGGGGTGGTTGTGGAGTGGGGGGGTTGTGGTGGTGGGGGGGGGGTGTCCGCGCCTATAAATTCCCTCCCGGGAGCAATACGATCTGATGTCTTGATCGTGACTGCGATTGGACAAGATCCGTCACCTGAGGCTCATTTGTGCTTCAAGACCCTCGCCCTGTGCCCTGGACGCGCCGCGAGTCGCTGCTCAAATCGCCCACCGTGAGCCATCGATGTTCATCTGCTGCTGGGCTGTTGTTCAGAGCAAGTGGTGGAAATTTCACATTACTGTGGCAGAAGGAGGCGCGAGGAGAAAAGTCTATTTATATGGGATTGTTTTGGCCGGACGTATAACATGCTAAACATCGAATCGATATTTGCAAATATCTGACATACTAATGGCTACTCAATCGATATATTAACTATTTTTTTATTTTATCAGGTAAGGCACACTGAGCTAAATAGTTATGTTTCAGACGCGACCTGGCCACAAATGATAGCTCAACGAAGTGGCTTATTATCCTGTGGAGATTTATAGCGGCCAAGTACTCTAAACGCGTGATGTTTATTCTAAATGTCGAGAGTAAACCCAGACGCAGACTCCAAATATACAGCAGCAGGTGTCAGTCGGGATCGAATCAACGACCTCCTGTACACCAGGCGAGGTAGTGGACATCTAGCCACCACGGCGCTCCATCTCTCTGGCCCTCCCCATCTCTATAACGAAGGGTCGTTGCCTAAAACGTCGGCTGTTTTTGTCTTCCTTTTATTGACGAACTCTGACCTCCCGGTTTCATCACCTGAAGGTGCTTGACGGACGAATCTCATTGGTCGTTTGCTCCTGCACTGTGTGTACATCTTCGTGTGCACTGTACATCTGTGAGTGGAGCGTAGCGATGATCCGAGGTCGATTCCCGAACCGGTCCAGGGGCCTCCCCTAGGTCGACTCGACCTCAAATGAGTTCCCGGTGCGGTGTGGTAAACATCGCCACTAGGGAGACAAATGCGGCCGGGCGTGGTGTTGGCCACCCACCCTTCTCGTGTGCCGTGTCGGCCTTCATCGGTGCTCTCGCCGCAACGTTCTGTAAGGCTACACGGGGGATCTTTGGCTTTGTACTGTGCGGTGTTTGCCCCCACCCCCGCCACAGCCTTTGAGCCGAATCGGTGGCGCGTTGGCGACGTCGTTGACTGCTGACTGCACCGCGTGACGATACACAATCGTTTAGTTTGCCCGTGCTGACTGGTGGATTTAGCTCGTGTGGGGCCTATAAAGAAGCCCTGAATTAAACAAATATTAAAAGACAAATTTGTGTTACTTGCATAGTAAAGTAATTGTATTTTTTCATTTGCGAAACAGCAAGATAATACGACAAATCGCTAACCTTAAATACCCATTCATTAATGAAAGTTGAAGGCGATATAGTATTGTAGTGTTTTTATTTCACGCGGACAACTTTCATTTTCTCCTGTGTCACTTTTATTCAACAGAACTCCTCGCGTTCAACACCACTACATGACTCCGTCGCTCTCTCGTTTGCCACGCTTCGCTTGCTCCCTCTGCTAGCTTCTCTACTGCTAGCCTATCACTATACACTCTGCTAGCTTCTCCACTGCTAGCCTATCACTATACAGTGAGGGAAAAAAGTATTTGATCCCCAGCTGATTTTGTACGTTTGCCCACTGACAAGGAAATGATCAGTCTATAATTTTAATGGTAGGTTTATTTGAACAGTGAGAGACAGAATAACAACAACACAATCCAGAAAAACGCATGTTAAAAATGTTATAAATTGATTTGCATTTTAATGAGGGAAATAAGTATTTGACCCCTCTGCAAAACATGACTTAGTACTTGGTGGCAAAACCCTTGTTGGCAATCACAGAGGTCAGACGTTTCTTGTAGTTGGCCAGCAGGTTTGCACACATCTCAGGAGGGATTTTGTCCCACTCCTCTTTGCAGATCTTCTCCAAGTCATTAAGGTTTTGAGGCTGACGTTTGGCAACTCGAACCTTCAGCTCCCTCCACAGATTTTCTATGGGATTAAGGTCTGGAGATTGGCTAGGCCACTCCAGGACCTTAATGTGCTTCTTCTTGAGCCACTCCTTTGTTGCCTTGGCCGTGTGTTTTGGGTCATTGTCATGCTAGAATACCCATTCACGACCCATTTTCAATGCCCTGGCCGAGGGAAGGAGGTTCTCACCCAAGATTTGATGGTACATGGCCCCGTCCATCGTCCCTTTGATGCAGTGAAGTTGTCCTGTCCCCTTAGCAGAAAAACACCCCCAAAGTATAGTGTTTCCACCTCCATGTTTGACGATGGGGATGGTGTTCTTGGGGTCATAGGCAGCATTCCTCCTCCAAACACGGCAAGTTGAGTTGATGCCAAAGAGCTCCATTTTGGTCTCATCTAACCACAACACTTTCACCCAGTTGTCCTCTGAATCATTCAGATGTTCATTGGCAAACTTCAGACGGGCATGTATATGTGCTTTCTTGAGCAGGGGGACCTTGCGGGCGCTGCAGGATTTCAGTCCTTCATGGCGTAGTGTGTTACCAATTTTTTTCTTGGTGACTATGGTCCCAGCTGCCTTGAGATCATTGACAAGATCCTACCGTGTAGTTCTGGGCTGATTCCTCACCGTTCTCATGATCATTGCAACTCCACGAGGTGAGATCTTGCATGGAGCCCCAGGCCGAGGGAGATTGACAGTTCTTTTGTGTTTCTTCCATTTGCGAATAATCGCACCAACTGTTGTCACCTTCTCACCAAGCTGCTTGGCAATGGTCTTGTAGCCCATTCCAGCCTTGTGTAGGTCTACAATCTTGTCCCTGACATCCGGCCACTCATTGGGGTTCAGGGCCACGGTCCAGCGGGCGCCGGGCCCCCTGAGTCCTGTGGCCGGAGCCGTGGCCACCGCAGGGCGCTAACTTTAGCCGGGCAGTGGCCGGGGCCGCGGACGCTAAAGTTAGCGCCGTGACGGCGGCGCCTCCTGCTGCTGCTGCTGCTGCCCGTGCTGACTCGGGAGAAACCTGTCCCCTCCTGCTGCTCCTAATCATAGTCACCACCATCGTCACCATCACCCTCCTAATCATTATTACCATCACCACCATCCTTTTGTCTCTCTTGTCTTTGTGTTAACCTGTGTGTGTGCTGCACATTTCAGTGTGTTAACCTGTGTGTGTGTGCTGCACGTGTCAGTGTGTTAACGTGTGTGTGTGCTGCACGTGTCAGTGTGTTAACGTGTGTGTGTGTGTGCTGCACGTGTCAGTGTTAACCTGTGTGTGTGTGCTGCACGTGTCAGTGTGTTAGCCTGTGTGTGTGTGCTGCACTTGTCAGTGTGTTAACCTGTGTGTGTGTGCTGCACTTGTCAGTGTGTGTGTGCTGCACTTGTCTTTGTGTTAACCTGTGTGTGTGTGCTGCACGTGTCAGTGTTAACCTGTGTGTGTGCTGCACGTGTGAGTGTGTTAACGTGTGTGTGTGCTGCACATTTCAGTGTGTTAACCTGTGTGTGTGTGCTGCACGTGTCAGTGTGTTAACGTGTGTGTGTGCTGCACGTGTCAGTGTGTTAACTTGTGTGTGTGCTGCACGTGTCAGTGTGTTAACTTGTGTGTGTGTGCTGCACGTGTCAGTGTGTTAACGTGTGTGTGTGCTGCACGTGTCAGTGTGTTAACGTGTGTGTGTGCTGCACGTGTCAGTGTGTTAACGTGTGTGTGTGCTGCACGTGTCAGTGTGTTAACGTGTGTGTGTGCTGCACGTGTCAGTGTGTTAACGTGTGTGTGTGCTGCACGTGTCAGTGTGTTAACCTGTGTGTGTGTGTGCTGCGTGTGTCGTGTGTTAACTTGTGTGTGTGTGCTGCACGTGTCAGTGTGTTAACTTGTGTGTGTGTGCTGCACGTGTCAGTGTGTTAACGTGTGTGTGTGCTGCACGTGTCAGTGTGTTAACGTGTGTGTGTGCTGCACGTGTCAGTGTGTTAACGTGTGTGTGTGCTGCACGTGTCAGTGTGTTAATGTGTGTGTGCTGCACGTGTCAGTGTGTTAACGTGTGTGTGTGCTGCACGTGTCAGTGTGTTAACCTGTGTGTGTGTGCTGCGTGTGTCGTGTGTTAACTTGTGTGTGTGTGTGCTGCACGTATCAGTGTGTTAACCTGTGTGTGTGTGCTGCGTGTGTCTGCGTGTTGCCGTGTGTGTCTGCGTGTTGCCGTGTGTGTCTGCGTGTGCGGCGTGCGTCTGCGTGTGTGTGCGGCGTGTGTCTGCGTGTTGCCATGTCCCCGGGCCCGTAGAAGGACACCAAGGGCCAGCGAGTGCTGGACCACGTGTGTAACCACCTGGACCTGCTCGAGAGGGACTACTTCTGCCTGCACTACCGCGACACCGACGGGCAGACAGTGAGGAGCACTCGCCACCGTCCCACTCACCACCAAGCCACTCACCACCGTCCCACTCACCACCGAGCCACTCACCACCGAGCCACTCACCACCGAGCCACTCACCACCGTCCCACTCACCACCGTCCCACTCACCACCATCCCACTGCTGCTGCTGCACCCACTGCTGCTGCCGCCCCCAATGCTGCTGTTGCCCCCAATGCTGCTGTTGCCCCGACTGCTGTTGCTGCTCCCAATGCTGCTGTTTCCCCCACTGCTGCCACCCCCACTGCTGCTGCCCCCAATGCTGCTGTCGCCCCCACTGCTGCTGTTTCCCCCACTGCTGCTGCTGCCCCCACTGCTGCTGTTGCCCCCATTGCTGCTGCCCTCACTGCTGCTGCCCCCACTGCTTCTGCCACCCTCACTGCTGCTGCACCCCCACTGCTGCTGCTACCCCCACTGCTGCTGCACCCCCACTGCTGCTGCTACCCCCACTGCTACTGCCGCCCCCACTGCTGCTGCCGCCCCCACTGCTGCTGTTTCCCCCACTGCTGCCACCCCCACTGCTGCTGCCCTCACTGCTGCTGCCGCCCCCACTGCTGCTGTTGCCCCCACTGCTACTGCTGCCCCCACTGCTGCTGCTGCCCCCACTGCTACTGCTGCCCCCACTGCTGCTGCTACCCCCACTGCTGCTGCTACCTCCACTGCTGCTGCTACCCCCACTGCTGCTGCCCTCATTGCTGCTGTTTCCCCCACTGCTGCTGCGCCCCCACTGCTGCTGCCGCCCCCACTGCTGCTGCCGCCCCCACTGCTACTGCTGCCCCCACTGCTGCTGCTACCTCCACTGCTGCTGCTGCCTCCACTGCTGCTGTTTCCCCCACTGCTGCTGCTGCCCCCACTGCTGCTGCTGCCCTCACTGCTGCTGTTTCCCCCACTGCTGCTGTTTCCCCCACTGCTGCTGTTTCCCCCACTGCTGCTGCTCCCTCCACTGCTGCTGTTTCCCCCACTGCTGCTGTTTCCCCCACTGCTGCTGCTGCCTCCACTGCTGCTGTTTCCCCCACTGCTGCTGCTGCCCCCACTGCTGCTGCTGCCCTCACTGCTGCTGTTTCCCCCACTGCTGCTGTTTCCCCCACTGCTGCTGTTTCCCCCACTGCTGCTGCTACCTCCACTGCTGCTGTTTCCCCCACTGCTGCTGTTTCCCCCACTGCTGCTGCTACCCCCACTGCTGCTGCTGCCCCCACTGCTGCTGCCGCCCTCACTGCTGCTGCCGCCCCTGTTCCGTGTGCCGTGCACAGCACTGGGTGGACGTCTCCAGGCCACTGGTGAAGCAGCTGAAATGTGAGTGGGGTTCGTTACGCGACCCCCGTCCAGTGCGTGACTCGCTGAGCAATCCGAGCGGTGGTGGTGGTGGTTGGTGGTGTTGGCGGTGGTGGCGGTGGTGGCGGTGGTGGCGGTGGTGGCGGCCGCCACTCCTCACATGGCTGCCTGTAACCCAGCGCCGTCCAGGCAGCAGCGTGGGTTGGTGGATCACACACGGATGTTCCCGTGGCCGTCGAGGAAGGAGCCGTACCCTGGCTCACCAGGAGAAGGCGGTACAGCAAAGTGTGGACTAACCTCCATCTGTTTCCATCTGTACGGGGATAGAGCGTTGCCCCCATGTGTGATGCGTGGGGTTTTTTCCGGATGCTTCGGTTTTCTCCCACGTGAATAATAAACGTGGCTCATCATTAATTGGCTAAAAAACATCTTAAAATAAAAACCCAGTGCGGCAGGACCCTCCGGGAAAAATAGTCCACTGTGGCTATCCTGGATAAATCAGTAAATTGTTGATTGTGGGGTCAATGAGCGGGTGCAGCGGTTGGCTGAAGTGTGGTCTTGGTGATGGTGGTGCCACAGCAGCTCCCAGTGGTGTGGTGCGTGGTGCGTGTATGGTATAATGGGGAGTCGTGGTGCAGTGGTTAGTGCACTTGTGCTACGAATCCGGCAGAGAGTGAGTTCGATACCCACTCGCGATCAATTGAACCAGTCCTGCACTGCCCCAAAAGTCTGTTAAATCTGCTAAGGCTACACGGGGGATCTTTGTGGTGTGAAGTCTGGCGGTGTGACGTGTGGGGTAGCTGTGTGATGTGTGGTGGTGTGACGTGTGGTGTGGCGGTGTGACGTGTGGTGGTGTGACACGTGCCTGTGCAGTGTGATGTGTGTTGGTGCGGTGTGACATGTGGCGATGTGACGTGTGGTGGTGTGGTGTGACGTGTTTGGAGTGACGTGTAGTGGTGTGACGTGTAGTGGTGTGACGTGTGGTGGTGCGGTGTTACGTGGCGGTGTGACGTGTGGTGGTGCGGTATGAAGTGTAGCATCGTGATATGTGGTGGTGCAGTGTGACATGTAGCGGTGTGACGTGTGGCAGTGTGGTGGCATGGTGTGGCAGTGTGACGAATGGTGGTTTGACGTGTGGTGGAGTGATGTGTGGTAGTGCGGTGTGACGTGTGGCGGTGTGACGTGTGGGGTTGTGCCGCCTGCAGGCAGCCCGCCGTACGTGCTGTGTTTTCGCGTGCGGTTCTACCCTCCCGATGCACTCGCCCTTCGCGAAGAGATCTCCAGGTGCGGCCACAACACAGTCACAGCACGGCCACAACACGGTCACGACACGAAAAATACACGGTTCCGACAGAGACATGGCACGGTCACGACACGGACACTACACAGTCACTACACGGACACTACACAGTCACTACACAGTCACAACACAGTCACTATACAGTCACAACACAGTCACTACACAGTCACTACACAGTCACTACACAGACACTACACAGACACTACACAGTCTCTACACGGTCACTACACAGTCACTACACAGTCTCTACACGGACACTACACAGTCAATACACAGTCACTACACAGTCACTACACGGACACTACACGGACACTACACAGACACTACACGGTCACTACACAGACACTACACAGACACTACACAGTCACAACACAGTCACTACACGGACACTACACAGACACTACACAGTCACTACACAGACACTACACAGTCACTACACGGACACTACACAGTCACTACACAGACACTACACGGACACTACACAGACACTACACAGTCACTACACAGACACTACACAGTAACTACACAGTCACTACACGGACACTACACAGACACTACACAGTCACTACACAGACACTACACAGTCACAACACAGACAATACACAGTCACTACACAGACACTACACAGTCACTACATGGTCACTACACAGACACTACACAGACACTACACAGACACTACACCGTCACTACATGGTCACTACACAGACACTACACAGGCACTACACAGACACTACACGGACACTACATGGGCACTACACAGACACTACACAGACACTACACGGTCACTACACAGTCACTACACAGTCACTACACAGACACTACACAGACACTACACAGTCATAACACAGTCACTACACAGTCACTACACAGTCACTACACAGACACTACACAGATACTACACGGTCACTACACAGTCACTACAAAGTCACTACACAGTCACTACACGGACACTACACAGACACTACACAGACACTACACGGACACTACACAGACACTACACAGACACTACACAGTCACTACACGGGCACTACACAGTCACTACACAGTCACTACACAGTCAGTCACTACACAGACACTACACAGTCACTACACAGTCACTACACGGACACTACACAGTCACTACACAGACACTACACAGTCACTACACAGACACTACACAGTCACAACACAGACAATACACAGTCACTACACAGACACTACACAGTCACTACATGGTCACTACACAGACACTACACAGACACTACACAGACACTACACGGTCACTACATGGTCACTACACAGACACTACACAGGCACTACACAGACACTACACGGACACTACATGGGCACTACACAGACACTACACAGACACTACACGGTCACTACACAGTCACTACACAGTCACTACACAGACACTACACAGACACTACACAGTCATAACACAGTCACTACACAGTCACTACACAGTCACTACACAGACACTACACAGATACTACACGGTCACTACACAGTCACTACAAAGTCACTACACAGTCACTACACGGACACTACACAGACACTACACAGACACTACACGGACACTACACAGACACTACACAGACACTACACAGTCACTACACGGGCACTACACAGTCACTACACAGTCACTACACAGTCAGTCACTACACAGACACTACACAGTCACTACACAGTCACTACACGGACACTACACAGTCACTACACAGTCACTACACGGACACTACACAGTCACTACACAGACACTACACAGACACTACACGGTCACTACACAGACACTACACAGACACCGCACAGTCACTGCACAGACACTACACAGTCACTACACAGACACTACACAGTCACTACACAGACACCACACAGTCACTACACGGACACTACACAGTCACTACATGGACACTACACGGACACTACACAGTCACTACACAGACACTACATGGGCACTACACAGTCACTACACAGACACTACACAAACACTACACAGACACTACACGGACACTACACAGTCACTACACGGACACTACACGGACACTACACAGACACTACACAGTCACTACACAGACACTACACAGACACTACACAGTCACAACACAGACACTACACAGACACTACACAGACACTACACACACTACACAGTCACTACACAGACACTACACTGTCACTACACGGACACTACACGGACACTACACGGACCCTACACAGTCACTACACAGACACTACACGTACACTACACGGACACTACACAGACACTACACAGACACTACACGGACACTACACAGACACTACACGGTCACTACACGGTCACTACACAGACACTACACAGTCACTACACGGACACTACACAGTCACTACACAGACACTACACAGACACTACACAGACACTACACGGTCACTACACAGTCACTACACAGTCACTACACAGTCACTACACAGTCAGTCACTACACAGACACTACACAGTCACTACACAGTCACTACACAGTCACTACACGGACACTACACAGTCACTACACAGTCACTACACAGTCACTACACAGTCACTATACAGTCACTACACGGACACTACACAGTCACTACACAGACACTACACAGACACTACACGGTCACTACACAGTCACTACACAGTCACTACACAGTCACTACACAGTCAGTCACTACACAGACACTACACAGTCACTACACAGTCACTACACGGACACTACACAGTCACTACACAGTCACTACACAGTCACTACACAGACACTACACAGTCACTACACAGACACCACACAGTCACTACACAGACACTACACACTCACTACACAGTCTCTACACGGTCACTACACAGTCACTACACAGTCACTACACAGACACTACACAGTCACTACACGGTCACTACACAGTCACTACACAGACACTACACAGTCACTACACAGACACTACACAGTCACTACACAGACACTACACAGGCACTACACAGTCACTACACAGACACTACACAGTCACTACACAGTCACTACACAGTCACTATACAGTCACTACACGGACACTACACAGTCACTACACAGACACTACACAGACACTACACGGTCACTACACAGTCACTACACAGTCACTACACAGTCACTACACAGTCAGTCACTACACAGACACTACACAGTCACTACACAGTCACTACACGGACACTACACAGTCACTACACAGTCACTACACAGTCACTACACAGACACTACACAGTCACTACACAGACACCACACAGTCACTACACAGACACTACACACTCACTACACAGTCTCTACACGGTCACTACACAGTCACTACACAGTCACTACACAGACACTACACAGTCACTACACAGTCACTACACGGTCACTACACAGTCACTACACAGACACTACACAGTCACTACACAGACACCACACAGTCACTACACAGACACTACACAGTCACTACACAGACACTACACAGGCACTACACAGTCACTACACAGACACTACACAGTCACTACACAGACACTACACAGTCACTACACAGTCACTACACAGTCACTACACGGACACTACACGGACACTACACAGTCACTACACGGACACTACACAGTCACTACACAGTCACTACACAGACACTACACAGTCACTACACAGTCACTACACAGACACTACACAGACACTACACAGTCACTACACAGTCACTACACAGACACTACACGGACACTACACAGTCACTACACAGTTACTACACAGTCACTACACAGACACTACACAGTCACTACACAGTCACTACACAGTCACTACACAGACACTACACAGACACTACACAGTCACTACACAGTCACTACACAGACACTACACGGACACTACACAGTCACTACACAGTTACTACACAGACACTACACAGTCACTACACAGTTACTACACAGTCACTACACAGTCACTACACAGTCACTACACAGTCACTACACAGACACTACACAGACACTACACGGACACTACACGGACACTACACGGACACTACACGACTAGAGCCGCACAGAAGCTACAGCAGCAGCTGCTGTGTGAGATCGGTGACCCCAGATCCACGCAGCAGCGCCGCTCCGATTACACGGATAAGTTGCACGGCGCACATACACACACTCTACACACACACACACACTCACTCTACACACACACTCACTCTACACACACACTCACGACACACACACTCACTACACACTCACTACACACTCTCACTACACACACACTCACTATAAATATAAAGATCCCCGTATAGCCTGTAGGGGCAAGTGCTGTTAGCGAGCACCTATGAAGGCCGGAACGGTACACGAGGGGGTGGGTGGCCAGCACTACGCCCGATCACCTTAGTCTCCCTAGTGGCAATGTTTTTATCCACCGCACCAGGTACTCATTTGAGGCTGAGCCGACCTAGGAGAAGCCCAGGACCGGTTCACTGGTGTTGGCCGTGAGCGGGAATCGAATCCGGGTCGCCAGGTTCATAGCTGCAGCACGCTAACCGCTACACTACCGCACTACCGCTCCCCACTCACTACACACACACATACACACGTTACACACACACTCTACACACACACTCTACACACTCACTCTACACACTCACTACTACACACACACTACACGCGTTACACACACACACATGCTGCACACACACTTTACACACACTCTACACACACACACCTACATACACGCGTTACACACACACGCATTCTACACATGCACTCTACACACACACTCACTACACACTCACTACACACACACACTACACGCGTTACACACACACGCATGCTGCTCACACACTCTACACACACTACACACACACTCACTACACACTCACTACACACACACATACACGCGTTACACACACGCATGCTACACACACACTCTACACACACTACACACACACTCACTACACAATCGCTACACACACATATATATTCGCGTTACACACACACGCATGCTGCACGCACGCTGCACACACACGCGCTAAACACACACACACGCTACACACATGCACGACAAACACACGCGTTACACACATATGCTACACACACACGTGACACACGCGTTACACACACACACACGCTTCACGCGGGCACGCTACACACGCACACTATATAGACACGCGTTACACACGCACACACTACACATACGCGTTCCACGCCACGCGCTCCACGCGTGTGCTTTGTGTGTGTGTGCGCGCTGTGTGTGTGTGTGTGCGCGCTGTGTGTGTGTGCGCGCTGTGTGTGTGTGTGTGCGCGCTGTGTGTGTGTGTGTTTGTGCGCGCTGTGTGTGTGTGTGCGCGCTGTGCGGTGTGTGTGTGCGCTGTGTGTGTGCGCGCGCGCTGTGTGTGCGTGGCAAAACAACCCCCTACCTTCTCGCGGTGCCGGACGGGCAACTCTGTCGTGGACAGTGCTGTGGGGGGAGGTCCAATTCCGATTGGCTCCTCCCCTCATGGCGTCTTTGTCCACCACAGTGGCTAAACGGGGGCTCTGGAAGGGTGCGAGGGGCTGGTAACCCCTTCACCTTCAATTAATTACCACTAAACTACGACTGAAATATGTAACTAATAAGCTTGTGCCGGAGGCCCCGGGGGGACAGGCGACTATGATGTCTCCTGGCCAAACCCCAATTGGCGGAGCCAGGAGATTGAATCTCTACCCTCGGAGCTCCTCCAGAAACAACGAAAAGCCACTACGGATGGCCACGTGGAATGTTCGAACGCTCACTGCGGAGGAGAGGCTGCCACTCCTCTGTCGGGAGCTGGACCGGTACCGCCTGGATCTCTGTGGCATTCAGGAGGTCCGGTGGACCGGTTCTGACTCCTGCCACCATGAGGGGTGGGGACAGTCCTCTACTCGGGGCAGCAGACTGCCAAACAACAGGGTGTGGCTCTTCTTTTGAACAAAAGAATGAAGGGGGCGTGGGAGCATGGCGTTGAGGTGTGGGAAGCTGTAAGCCCCAGGCTACTTTGGGCTCGCCTTCCCATCAACCGGAGGTGAGGAGTGGTGGTCGTGGTTACTTATGCCCCCACTGAAGACGAACATCCGTGGAGGGATGCAGGCAAAGCCGATGAGTCAGATGCCTCCTATGACCTCCTGTCACAGGTGCTGGCTAAAGTGGCCCCTCGGGATAGAGTCATCTTGTTGGGTGACTTGAATGCCCGAGCTGGTCATGATGCTGGCACCTGGTCTGGAGTGATTTGAGGGAATGGGCCAGATCAGCTCAATAACAATGGTAGGAGGCTGCTAGATTTTTGTGCAGTCCATGGGCTTGTAATTACCAACACGCTGTTCCGGCATCGGCACATCCACACAACATCATGGATGCATGCCGGGTCCAAGCAAGAACATCTGCTGGACTACATAGTGATGGACCAGTGGATGCGAGCCCATGTCCTTGACACCAGGACCTACTGTGGAGCTGATCTGCCCTCTGACCATCGACTAGTCATCTGTAAGATGCGCCTGCCATTCTTCCACTCCGGTGGTGGGTGTACACCCAGGACCCCATTCCAACCTAAAGTGGCCTGGTCTCAGTTATCTGATGAAAGTTGCAAGCGAGAATTTCATCATCGCTTGCGGCTGGGGTTGGCATCGTCCCCCACTCCTCCTGATGTCGAGGGTAAATGGGCGAGGTTTAGGACTGTGACTCATGCAGCTCCAATGGCTGCTTTGGGTACGCGGTCCAGACCTCCCTAGAGACCCTGGCTGACAGAGGAGGTGTTCAGGATGGTTGAGAAAAAGCGACAGGCCCACTGTCATCGGCTACAGAATCCCACGTCAGAGAATGAGGAGGCTTACCGCAGCCTTCGCTCGGAGGTTCGGAGAGCCGTGAGGTGCTGCAAGGATGGGTGGTGGCCGCGGGTTGCTGAGGAGATGGAGTCTGCCTCAGTGGCCCGGGATCACAAATCTCTATTTAACTCCATCAAAAAAGTAACCTGCAGCGCCACACCTATTACCATCATTAGGGGGAAAAACGGTGATCCAATCTCTGACTCCCAGGAACAGGTTTGCAGATTTGCTGAGCATTTCTGTCAGGTCCTGGGGGAGGGAAAATCCCTCAGCCAGGAAAACACCGTGGCACAAAGTGAGGATGACCCTGCTGAGGCTGCGGTGCCTCAAATATTGGAAGAAGTCACCGCCTGTGAGTGGCTGGCTGAAGTGCCATCTGTTGAGGAAGTACTGAAGGCGATCCGGAGTCTGAGACCAGGAAAGGCAGTGGGCAGAGATGATCTCCCAAGCGAAATGCTGAGGGAGGGTGGCGTTTGTGCACAGACTGCCCTATGTGACATCATAACAACAGTCTGGACCACTGGACGGGTTCCCCAGGATTGGAAGGATGCCCTGGTGGTCCCCCTCTTTAAGAGGGGGGACCGCACAGACTGTAACAACTACAGGGGCATCTCACTCCTCAGTGTGCTGGGAAAGGTCCTGGCAAGGATTATTCAACATCGCCTTGCCACGCACGCTGAGGAGAGGCTTGCGGAGCCCCATTGCGGTTTCAGGAAAGGGCGGTCCTGCACAGATGCCATATTTTCTGTCCGTCTGCTACAGCAGAGGTGTAGGGAATTCCAGCAAGACCTACATCTCTGCTTTATTGACCTGGTCAAGGCCTATGATACCATCAGTAGGCCTGGGCTCTGGGTTGTTCTTCGTGCTTTTGGAGTACCTGACCCTCTGCTCACGATCATTAAAGACCTTCATCATGGTGAGCGGGCCCGGGTAAAACTGAGTCAGAGCCATTCCCTGTACATCTTGGGGTGCGACAGAGATGTCCTCTGGCTCCCACATAATTTAACATCTATTTTGATCACGTAGTTCGTAAAGCCTTCAATAGCTGTACCGGGGGAATCTCCATATGGTACAGATATAATGGGAGGCTGATTGATGCCCGGGTGCGGTCAAGGGATGGCTCCCTATTGCTTAACCACGTTATGTATGCCGATGATTTGGTAATAGCTGCTCATTCAGAGGAGGAGTTGGAGACGCTGCTGCTGAGACTAGAGCGTGCCACTAAGAGATGGGGCCTTACCATCAGCCCCACCAAAACTAAGCACCTGCCTGGGTATTTTGTACCATCGGACACTCCACCCCCACAACTCCCAATCGGTGATGGGGCAGTTGTGGAGAGAGTGGAGAATTTCCCATACCTGGGCAGTGTGCTTATGACCGGCTCCAGTTTAACAGCAGAGGCCTCACTCCGAATCAGTCGAGCGGCAATATCTTTTCATCGGTTGCGTAACGCTTTGTGGAAGCCAACTGGTCTGTCGCTCCGCACTAAGCTTCAGGTCTTCTCGGCCACGGTCATTCCCTCCCTTCTCTATGCTTGCGAAACGTGGACCCCCTTAATGGAACATCTTCGCCGGTTAGAAACAATTAGGCTAGCCTGCGTACGATCCATCCTGGGTTTAACCAGGCTGGATTGTGTGAGGAGCTCACAAATCTTTGAAAGATCTGGGCAAGGTCCCATCGGTGAGCTCCTCCGGCAGGCAAGGCTGCGTTGGCTGGGTCATGTAGCCCGCATGCCCAGCCACCGCATGCCGAAACAGTTTTTGTTCGGCCGGATCGAGGGGGCTAAACGGGCGCGGCACAGGCTATAGAGAAGAGATGGAGTGATATGGTACAGGAGGACGTGGAGCTGAGTGGACTTGCCGATGACTGGTACCAGCCATGTCAAGATCGGCCTCTGTGGAGGAGGCTCGTGAAGGACGCTACTGGGCAGTTGGAGGCAGTCGCCCTCCAACAACAACGGAGGGCGGAGGAGCGACGCTCACAACAACGAGCGGAGCGCCGGGTGGCTAAAGCACAGCAGGTTGGCACAGTAGGGGGCACAGGTGGTGCATCAGCCAGTCATCTCAGTCATCTCAGTCAGTCGACCCGTGGCACCTGGGTCTGCCCCGTGACCTCCTGCCCGCGGGAGTTCGACACTTCACGTGGCACAAGCATCGTGGTGACGTGACCGCCACTTAGTGGCGAATGGCGGCTGTTGTGTGTGTGTGCGCTGTGTGTGTTTATTGTGTGCGCTGTGTGTGTGTGTGTGTGCTGCAGGTACTTGCTCTTCCTGCAGCTCAAGCGGGACCTGCGGCACGGCCACCTCCTGGCGCCAGCTGCAGACATGGCCTGGCTCATCGCCTTCATCCTGCAGGGTGAGGAACCTCACTGCTCACCACTCACCTCACCTCACTGCTCACCACTCACCTCACCACTCACCTCACCACTCACCACTCACCTCACCACTCACCTCACCGCTCACCTCACTGCTCACCACTCACCTCACCTCACCACTCACCTCACCACTCACCTCACCACTCATTTCACATCACCACTCACCTCATCAATCAGCTCACCTCACCACTCACCTCACCACTCACCTCACCACTCACCTCACCACTCACCTCACCACTCACCTCACCACTCACCTCACCACTCACCTCACCACTCATTTCACGTCACCACTCACCTCATCACTCATCTCACCTCACCGCACAACTCAGCTCCCCACTCACTTCACCCTCACTGCTCATCTCACCTCATCACTCGCCGCTCACCTCATCAATCGCCGCTCACCTCATCAATCAGCTCACCTCACCACTCACCTCACCACTCACCTCACCACTCACCTCACCACTCACCTCACCACTCACCTCACCACTCACCTCACCACTCACCTCACGTGGCTGTCTCGTTCAGCGGAGACGGGGGACTATGACCCCGAGGAGTGCACGGACGACCGTGAGGCGCGCGTCGCTCTGCTGCCTCCCGCCGCTCACCCCTCGCTCCTCACCCACGCACACCACCTCCACCGCACCCAGCTCCGGTACGCGCACATGTACGCACGTACGCACGTACGTACACACGCACGTACGCACGTACACACGCACGTACACACGCACGTACACACGCACGCACGTACGCACCTACACACGCACGTACACACGCACGCACGTACGTATGTACGCACGCACGTACGTACGCACGCACGCACGTACGCACGCACACACGCACACACGCACATGCACGTACACGCATTCATACAAAGACAAAGATCCCCCGTATAGCCTTAACAGACTGTAGAGGCAAGTGCTGTTAGCGAGCACCTATGAAGGCCGGAACGGTACACGAGGGGGTGGGTGGCCAGCACCACGCCCAACCGCCTTTGTCTCCCCAGTGGCGATGTTTACACACTGCACAGGTACTCATTTGAGGCTGATTCGACCTAGAGGAGGCCCAGGACAGGTTCAGAAAATCGTCACTGGTGTTGGCCGTGAGCGGGAATCGAACCCGGGTCGCCAGGTCCATAGCGCAGCGCGCTAACCGCTATACTACTGCTCCCCACTCACACTCACGCACACTCACACACACACGTGTGTGTGTCGGTCACGGAGAGACAGCCCCTGCCGTGACTCCGTCTCTCTGTCTCTGTGCGTCTGTGTGTCTTTTTGTCTCTGTGTGTCTCTTTGTCTCTGTGTGTCTCTGTCTCTGTGTGTCTCTTTGTCTCTGTGTGTCTCTGTGTCTCTGCGTCTCTCTCTCTGTCTCTGTGTCCCCAGCGGACAGACACCGGCGCAGGCCGAGGAGAACTTCCTGCAGAAGGTGCAGGAGCTGGAGACGTACGGGTTCAACCCGCAGCCCTGCCGGGTGAGGCTGCCGCAGTGCCCACTCACCGCTCACCACTCACCTTCCCAGGGGTTGCCTTTCTCTGGGCAGACTTGATGCTAATCCTGTCCGCTTCGAGTCCGGCCTGGGTTAACTCTGGACCAGGGGACATATAGGGTCCATGAGCCCATTTCATCGGTCCTGGAAACATCAAACCTGTTTTGAGCCCGAGTCGCCTAGGTCGACTCGGGCTCAAAATTAGTACCCGGTGTGGTGCCACGAGGGAGACAAAGGCGGTCGGGCGTGGTGCTGGCCACACATCTCGTGTGCCCTGCCAGCCTTCGTAGGCGCTTACGAAAGCACTTGCCCCAAAATTCTGTTATGTGCTACACGGGGGATATTTGTCTTTGTGCTTGCCCACCAGAGGACGTTCGAAAGTCGTGTTTGTTCCCCGGTAAGGACGAAGGGTTCCCGAGTCCAGGTTTAACCCTTGTCCCATGCACGACCAATGCATGCCCCTCACCCACCCACCAAAACCCACCCACCCGTGTGACCGGGGCCCCGCCTGCCGGCTGCTGTGGGCCCCGATTACTGGGAGCCCCTTTGCGTGGTGCGAGGGAGGAGGTCGTGCAGGGAGACGATGGTGGGAGGGTGATATTTGCGGCCCGTCCTCTGCGGGTGACGTTTCTGCGTTTGGCCAGCTATGAGCCAGGGCCACGCGTCCCACGCGGCCGTGTCGCCCGCACTGCGCTCGACTTCCGTGCGTCTTCTCTCTCTCTCGCAGCACGCGCACGCACGAGGCTCCCCTCCGACCTCACACACCGAGCCTCCTCGCTCCTACACGCCGCGCACTTTGAACTTTTCCCCACGGGCTCGCCTCTCTCCCGCACACATCCTCACCCACGCACTCGCTCCTCACCCACGCATTCCTCACCCACACATCCTCGCCCTTGCGCTCGCCTCTCTCCCGCACACATCCTCACCCACGCACTCGCTCCTCACCCACCCCTTCACCCGCTCCTTACCCACTACCCGCTCACACTTTCACTCGCCTCTCTGTTACCCCCACACGATCACCCCCACCCAACTTTCGCACACACGCCCACACGTGCCTGGCAACTCGTGCCTGCATGCTCACCTGTTCTCACCTCTGCTGGCCGTTCGCTCACCGCTCGTGCTCACCGCTTGTCCTCACCACTGCTCCTCACTGGCAGGACGTGACGGGGATGCCGGTGCTGCTGGGCTTCACGCCGCCCGGCCTCAGCGTCCTCCAGGACGGCAAGCGCGTCATCTTCCTGCCCTGGTCCGCACACCCGCTCCTCCTCACCAGCCCCTCACCACCTCCTCACCACCTCCTGACCAGCTTCACACGCTCCTCCTCACCGCCACCGCCGCCACCACCACCACTGCTGCCACCGCCGCTGCCAATACCAATACCCCGCCATTCCCAACTAAGTGACAATGACATAACTACGGCGTGCCAGCCCAGGTGCACCTTGAGACCACGTGAAATGTCAAAAGCTCGCTGGCAGGTCACGGGACAGACCCAGGTGCCATGGTTTGACTGACTGAGATGACTGCAAATGCACCAGCTGTGCCCCCTCCTGTGACAACTTGCTCCATTTTAGCCGCCCGGCGCTCCGCTCGTTGTTGTGAGCATCGCTCCTCTGCCCTCCGTTGTTGTTGGAGGGCGACTGCCTCCAACTGCCCAGTAGCGTCCTTCACGAGCCTCCTCCACAGAGGCCGATCTTGACTCCGTGACGGAAGCTCCCGGACACCTCGCAGCCGCTTAATTAATGCGCCCCCCTCCCCCCCCCCCCCCCCCATCGTCCCCCTCCCAGGTCGGAGATTCGAAAGCTGAAGTTTGAAGGGAAGACGTTCCACGTGCACTGCGTTGAGAAGGAGGTGAGCGGCGCTCGCGCCTCCACCGGAGCCTCCGGCGTTGCGGTACGGTAGCAGCGAGATCCCTGGCATACGCAGGGATAGATTACGGCGGTGTGAAGTCGGTGTGTGTCATGCCCAAATATGGTTACACTGGGCATACGATGAGTTGCAGAACAGTAATCGATTCAAAGCTCGGCTGCGAGCTGAAACCCGTCATCAAACCCACAGCAGCTTAAACCCAACCTCGACCCCATGCACAGCACCCGGTAACATTGCGTGTGAACCTGTCATTGTAATTGTGGGGAGTGGTGGCGCAGTGGTTAGCGCACTGCACTACGACCCCAGCAGGGACCCGAGTTAGGTTCCCGCTCACGACCAACACCAGTGACCATTATATAAACCGGCACTGGGCCTCTCCTTGATAGACTCGGCCTCAAATGAGTACTTGGTGTGTGGTGCTGGCCACTCGCCCCAGTCGTGTGCCTTTTCAGCCTTCATAGGCGCTACTCGCCAACACCGCTCGCCCCAACGTTCTGATGAAGCCTATACGGGGGATGTCCTTTGTGTCTGCCTCGCTCCCCCATCCGGCAGAAGAGGTTCACGCTGCCGTTCCACGCGGCGTCGCCGACGGCCTGCAAGCACGTTTGGAGGAGCGCCGTGGACAGCCAGGCCTTCTATCAGTGAGAGGCCTCCACTCGCACGCGCGCAAGCCAGGGCCGGCACGCGCGAGCCTCCGGGCCGGTGCTCGGCAACTCTCGCTAGAAGGGACGTTGACCTCGAGCGGGCGAGCGGGCGGGATAAGGTTGATCTTCTTTCTCGCTCAGTGCGATGACGGCTCCTGCTACGGGGAGACCGTGGCGGTCCCGGGCTTTGATGGAGCAAGCCGTTGCGGGATCTGGCAGAAGGGAGCGGCGGCGGTGAGCTGTGGTGAGCTGTGGCAATGGTGGATGGCACCGACGGCTTTCTGCCCTCCTCTGCCAGATCCCAGAGTGACTGCTGCTGCTGTGCAGTAAACCGCAGCAATCCTCCGGGACCTGCCCTGCTGCCTTCGTCCCGCCATCTGGTCCAAATAACTAGCGGACAATGTTGTGGTCGTTGTTGTTAAGGATTGAAGTGCAGGGTACACAGAGGGGGGCGTTAGGAGGGTGCGGGCCCCCAAAGCACCCCTATAGCTTCGCCACTAAGGCCCATGTGACCACACACACACACAACGCACACGCACACAACACACACACAACGCAAAGACAAAGATCCCCCGTATAGCCTTAACAGACTGTTGGGGCAAGTGCTATTAGCGATCGCCTATCAAGGCCAGCACGGCACACACGTGCGGCGCGCATGGCGAGCAGGAGGGGGCCGTGATCGCTGCTGTTGCTATTTACTGGAGGCTGCCCCCATCTGGCACGCTGACAATGGCCTCATTGAGCGGATCAGCAGCGCAAGCAGCGATCATGGTGTCTGTGCGCTTGCGTCCGTGCGTGTGCCAGAATAATAGGGAGCAGCTAGCAGCTAGCTGTGAGTAGCAGCTAGCAACGCAATCGGCTATAAACCCAGCAGAGACCCGAGTTTGATTCCCACGCATGAGCAATATTCTCAGCGAATATCTGAACCGGTGTTGGGCCTCCCTCACCCTAGGTCGACTCAGCCTCAAATGAGTACCTGGTGCCACGTGTAAACATCGCCACTGGGGAAACAAAGGCGGCCGGGTGTGGTGCTGGCCACCCACCCCGCTAAACTTTTGCCGGCCTTCATAGGTGCTTCTCGCTTAACAGCACTAGTCTGCTAGAGGCCACACAGGGGGATCTTTGTGTGCCAGAACAGTGCGTGCCTGCTTGTGTGTACTTGCTTGTGTTTGCGTGCGTGCGTGCCTACTGCTTGTGTGCCGCATGTTTCTGTGTGTAATACTCACACTCACGGTCCTTGTTTGCCCAGGGAAAGCCTCACCGAGTCTCAACGTTCTCGCCTCAAGAGGGTCTTGCAATTGGGGACGTTGGGCCAATTTTCAGTGAATGGTCGGCTTCGCATGGGAGGGAACCGGGAGGACTCGGAGGAAACGGCTTAAAAACTCCGCACGGATAGATTGGAGAATGCAACGGGGGATCGTTGAGAGCAATGCGATTGTGTGTGCGTGCGGCACTGTGTGTCGTGTTTGTGGGTGTGTCTGTTGTACCTGTATGAATGCCAGTGTGTGTGTGTTTGTCTGCATGTGTGGTTCAATACGCAAGCTCATGAATGTGGGCCGTCTGTCTAAACTTGTGTACGTGTGTGTGTGTGTCACTGAGATAACCTGTGCGTGTGTTGTGTGTATGTACAACTGTGTGTAACTGTGCAGTATGTGGGGAGCGGTAGTGTAGCGGTTAGGACGCTGCGCTACAAACCCGGAATCCCGAGGTCACAGCCAACACCGGTGACGATTATTTGAACCGGTTCTGGTGCGATGTGTGAACATCACCTCTAGGGAGACAAAGGCGGCCGCGCGTAGTGCTGGCCACCCACCCCCTCTCGTGCTGTGCCTGCCTTCAAAGGTGCTCACTAAAAGCACTTGCCCCTAGTCTGTTAGGGCTGTCGCGTGCTGGGGAGAGTGTGCCTCTGTGTGTTGTGGGTAACTGAGAGCCACACGCTGTGTGTTGTGGGTAACTGTGAGAGACACACACTGTGTGTTGTGGGTAACTGTGAGAGCCTCACGCTGTGTGTTGTGGGTAACTGTGAGAGCCGTGTGTTGTGGGTAACTGTGAGAGCCACACTGTGTGTTGTGGGTAACTGTGAGAGCCTCACGCTGTGTGTTGTAGGTAACTGTGAGAGACACACACTGTGTGTTGTGGGTAACTGTGAGAGCCACACGCTGTGTGTTGTGGGTAACTGTGAGAGCCACACGCTGTGTGTTGTAGGTAACTGTGAGAGACACACACTGTGTGTTGTGGGTAACTGTGAGAGCCTCACGCTGTGTGTTGTGGGTAACTGAGAGCCACACGCTGTGTGTTGTGGGTAACTGTGAGAGCCACACGCTGTGTGTTGTGGGTAACTGTGAGAGCCACACACTGTGTGTTGTGGGTAACTGTGAGAGCTACACACTGTGTGTTGTGGGTAACTGTGAGAGCCGTGTGTTGTGGGTAACTGTGAGAGACACACACTGTGTGTTGTGGGTAACTGTGAGAGCCGTGTGTTGTGGGTAACTGTGAGAGCCACACGCTGTGTGTTATGGGTAACTGTGAGAGCCGTGTGTTGTGGGTAACTGTGAGAGCCACACACTGTGTGTTGTGGGTAACTGTGAGAGCCGTGTGTTGTGGGTAACTGTGAGAGCCACACGCTGTGTGTTATGGGTAACTGTGAGAGCCACACGCTGTGTGTTGTGGGTAACTGTGAGAGCCTCACGCTGTGTGTTGTGGGTAACTGTGAGAGCCACACGCTGTGTGTTGTGGGTAACTGTGAGAGCCACACGCTGTGTGTTGTGGGTAACTGTGAGAGCCGCACGCTGTGTGTTGTGGGTAACTGTGAGAGCCACACGCTGTGTGTTGTGGGTAACTGTGAGAGCCGCACGCTGTGTGCGTGCGTGAAGGCTGGAGCGCTCGAGCGAGATCCGCGCCGTCTCCAGCAGTAACCTGCTGTTCCGGCGAAGCAAGCACCGCTTCAGGTGACATCCACCACCTCGTCGTCTAGTGAGCCCATAGCTCTCGTAGCATCATCGGTTTCGTGGCTACAGCGACACCCGATTGATCACCACTGCGAGGTTCAACGTCCTCCTGCCGAATTGGTGGTTCCCAGTACTGAACGGACCGCAGGACTTTTGAGCTCACGAACTGTGTCAACGGTGTCGATTTCAGTTCTGCTTTGTTCCTTCAGTCTTGGTTGCATCCCCGCTTTGGCAGTTCAGGAATGTGTCCCTAAAATGTCAGCGCGAGGGAGGCTCACGCAGTGAGATGGAGCACGGCCGTCACGGAGATGGAATCGCTCGCTGCGCTCGGTCCTTGGGGCGCAGAGCAGATGAGATCACCCAGCAATTTGCAGCCCCAGTTTCACCGCAGGCTGTTTAACTTCGCATGTTTAAAGCAGATAATGAACCGTTTAACACCTGGTTGTTTAACCTCGGGCTGTTTAACACTAGATATTTAACCCTGTTTAACCCCGGGCTGATTAACACAGATATTTAGCCCAGGCTGCCCGGCTGTGCTGGTTTCACTCCGGTGCTGTGTTCCCCTCCACAGTGGCCGCGTTGCCAAGGAGGTCCTGGAGGCGAGCAACCGGATCCAGCGCCACCCGCCCATCGTGAATCGGTGACCACCACCACCGCCACCTCACAACCCCACCACGCGCATGTCCCCCACCATCACCATGACCCACCATTCGGCATACCGACAGTTGGGGCAAGTGTCATAAGCGATCACCTGTGAAGGGAACTACACGGAGGGGGCAGGGGGTGGGAAGTTCAGACAGTAGTCGACCTTTACCCAGCGCCGGTGGTGTCCAGGCACATCAGAGGGCGATGACGACTCTGAGCGGCGGCACGCCAGGGGTTATGTACGAGGGGTCAAGGATGCCCCGACCCCAAGCCATCGATGCAATGGTGGCTACGCACGTGGCAGCCTGCGATCCCACGCTGTGGAGGCTGCAGCGAGGGTTGGTGGATCACACGCGGATGGTGTGAAACTCCCCGTAGGCGTCGAGGAGGAGCCGTACCCTGGGTCGGGTCGCCAGAAAGCAGAACAGCAAGTGGACTAATCGCCATCTGTTTCCATCTGTACAGCGATAGAGCGTTGGCCCCTTGCATGCATGGCTATCCTTTGGGTGCTCCGGTTTAGTCCCGCTTGCATAATAAACACAACTCATTAATTCATTGGCTGAGAACACCTTGATGTGTCGAGGACCGCACAGTTTGGGCAGTTGTTGGTAGCGCCGGCTCGCACCGTGGTTGCTGCCTTCCTACTTGCCCATGGTTCTTCCTGGCCAGACCCTCCTGAAGAGAGCCATATGACTGTGTGGCTCTGCTGGATAAATACATTATAATAAGTATTATTATTTATCCTAGAATGCATTCCCAGGACAGGTTCAGACACCACTCGGCAGCTACTGGTGGCGTCTGTGAGGATCGCTGGCAGGGAGTGAACTCGTGCGGCAGGGATGGATCGTCGTGCGCAGCGCGCTAACGTGCAGGCATCTGCACGTCCCGTCGCACGGGGTGGTACACCGCTCGCCGCGAGAGTTCCGAATGGAAAATTCCTCCGTGTGGTGACGTCGATGCCCACCCCGCGGTCGAAACGCGATCGTGGAGACCGATCGCCGCCGCCGCCACTGCCGCACGGCAATCCAGAACCCGGCACGCCACCACGGGCGTGGCTCTTTAAGACCCATTGTTGATTGTTATTTAAGACCCATGGTTGTGATTATTGTGGTGTCACCGGCGTGGAGCGGTCGCCAAGGGACACCAGGTGATGCCAGGTGATGCCAGGTGAGCAGCTGGGCGAGCCGGGGGGGGGGGGGGGGGGGGGGGGGGGGGGGGTGTCAAGGTGGATCGACGAGCAGGTGGCGACTGGGCAGGCGAGCAGGGGGCAGGTGGGAGGGGGGCAGGTGGGAGGGGGGCTGCCCCTCCTCCCCGGTTTCTGGTTTAACTGCTTCTGAGTGGAGACGCCGCTGCTGCACCGTGGCCGGGCCTCACCCTCCCGGCGCCCACGGGGCTTTGGGCGCGATCATCTTCCCCGCATTCCACTCGTTCCTGCGACTTGTTCACGGTCATTGTCGTCGTCGTCATAGTCTCTTGTTTGGCAACGCGACATTTTTAACCGTTTATGCGAACTCACGCCGCCATACGAGGGTGGGGGGGGGGGGGGGGCACCTTCTTGCCTTCTCGCTCGCCGGATGTCCCCGAGTAAGAGGCAGAGTGACCTCCTGCTCCCCTTCCCCTCTACAGCCCTGAAGAGCCAGTGGTGACAATTCCACATTCTTATGGTGGGGGCGAGTATTGTCCATGTTGATTTCCCCCACTAAGCGGTTACTCATTCTATCCACCCCAGAGGGACGAGGATGGGCCACATTAACCAGCTCCCAGCCAGGATTGAAACTTGCAACTTTTTGACGTTTGTGTAGCCACTCGCTGTAAGCTGCTGAGGTGGATCTCATCGTCCTTTATTCAACCGGGGAACAAGAGCAGTGGTAGCCAAGTGAAGACATGGACAATCCCCGGGGTTAACCCAGGCTTAGCCTCGCTTAGCTTGCGAGATAGAAAGAGATCAGGTGCAGTTTAACGTGTCGCCTTTCACGACAAATGTTATTCATAAAAGGTTTTTTTGAGTTAGATCGCCCAATGATGCTGGATATAACAGCGAAAGGTCGTACTCATATTGTAAATGTTGTGGGTTTAAGTGGTAACTAATTGGCAGGTTTTGTTTACACGCCAAACCTCACTGATTGGGTGTGTCGGGTGGTGGTGGGTTTAACGACACATTCATATTCATGCGGTATAACCCAAAAAATACCTTTATTGTGAATATTACTCTTTGGTTCTTTCGGATTCCTGCAGTCACGAAAGCTTCAAATCAAGATTATGAATATTATCACGAAGATCAGGTGCACTCAGGGGCTGTGTTCAGAGTCGCGGCACTCGCCTCTGGCTCGGCCTCTTAACACTCAGTTCGGAAATCTGAATGCGGCTGACACCACAGCTCAGCGCTGGCTGAAGTGAAGCGCATGGCTTTTTGGCCAGCTCAGCCGAACCTTACACCGAGCCGTAACTAAAATTACGGGCCTCGGAGCGGTTTTGGTCGTGGGCCACGACTGGGCTGAACCCCTTTGATGGCTTACGATTTCCGCCCTACCGATGCCGTTTCCGACCCCCCCTGACCCCCGGCCGCAGGTCACGCATGGTGGAGACCATGAGCTGCCCGACGATCTCGCGCGACGCCGTGGCGCCACTCTATTCAGCCACCGAGAGCTACCTCCTGCACGGTGAGCACCGGTGGCACCGCACCGACACACGGCCACAGGAGACCAACACGTGGGCATGTGCAGCCATACACCAACACACCCCCCCCCTCCCAACCGCTGTGCGTGTAGCCTTTACGGATCGTTTGGGAGAGTGCTGTTAGCGAGCACCTGTGAAGCTCGGCACGGCACACGAGGGGGTGGGCGGCCAGCACCACTTCCGGCCGCCTGTCTGCTAACCGTTGCGCCACCACTCGCCTGCACCCTGCCCTTCTCCCGTTGTGGCTCAGACCTGGGCTTCCCGGACGAGGATGGCCACTCAACGCCAGTGCCGCGCCAGCGCAACGGTGACGCCGCCGATCGCATCTCCGTCAGTTGCCTGGAGCTCAACGTTGCACGGACGCACAACCACCACCAGCAGCAGCCTCACCGTCACCCGCAGCACCATGCGCAGCTGCAGCACAAGCATCTCACGCAAAAGCAGCAGCAGCAGCAGAATCTGCAACAGAACAGCCACCAAGGCCAGGCACGCAGGCAGCAGCAGCAGCAGCTGGTGGTAGAGGTGCCAGCTGCGGAGGCCAAGCGGGGCCATGCTGGGACCCAGGAGCCACCGAGTCAGGGCCGGGCGGCGCTGACGGCGGCCACCGCTACCGGCGGCGGTGGCCGCCCCGTGCCGGACACCGAGAGTCAATCGGAGGAGCCGACGGAGGACGGGGAGACGCCGGAGGGGAGGGAGTTCCCCGCACCGGACGCGGACTGGTGCGAGGCCGACTTCGACGAGAGCGCCCTGCAGGAGGCCGAGGAGGAGGAGATGGACGAGGTGTCGCGGCTCACGGACCGCAACCTGGCACTGCTGACGGCCGGCCGCGACCGCTACGGCCGAGTGGCGCGCGCGGGCCTGCGCGCCGTGCTGGCGGCGTGCGCCGTCGTGCTGGTCACCGTGCCGCTGCTGCTGGTGCTGCTCGAGTCGCCGCTGGACGTGGCGCTGCTGAGGGACCTCAGGCGGACGCCCGAGTTCACGCAGTTCCACGTCGAGTACTTCTGCCCCATGCAGCGCCGACTGGGCGCCACCTTCCGCTCGCTGGCCGGCAGCGTGGACGAGTCGTGCGACCGCCTCGATTAGGCCCCCAAGGGAGCGCTAGGGAGGCTCGGTTCCTGGCCTCTCGAGCCCTCGCCCGGTTTAAACAAAATCAATGCGACGCTCGGGCCTCGCGGACTCCCACGGCGGCTGAATGGCGCCGCCGGCCCGCCCGCAAATGGAGGGGTCCTCCCAGCAGGGAAGCGGCGCGCCGCGCTTGGCAACGTGCTCGGAGGCAAAGCCCTGCTCGCTCTCGCGCGTCCGCGATCCCTTTGTCGCGGAAGAGCGGCGAGGAGGCGCCGTGCCGTTGGGTTTCCTCGAGATGTGCGGATCGACAGGTCCCCCGCGCGGGCAACCCCAAGTCCCCTCTGCCCCTGTGCACCGCTCATCACCCAGGGGCCCCGCCGGGCCCCGTTTCCCCAGCGGCTGGCTGCCGCTTCTCCCTGCACGCAGCGTGCCTTCGCCTGAACTCTCTCTCTCGGCGGTGACCGAAGTCACGCAGCGATGCTGTTACGGTGATGTGACTTAACTTATTTTATATTTGATCTTTGTTCTCGCTTTGTAACTCTTCCTTTTCACAGCCAGTTTTTTGTTGTTGTGTATCAGTCCTAATCGTACGAATTTTTCCATCCCGTGACTCTCTAATTAACGACAAGTATTAGGTGGGCACGATATTACACATAAGCGTTGGAACGAGGGTGGCACGGCAGGGAGAGGCGAGGTGGGGCGGGTGGGTAACCGGGTGCCATGGCAACGCGCGGGAACTCTCAGCTCCCGCTGCCCCCCCCCCCCGCTGGTGCCGTGGATTATCGATCACGCCACGGCACGGATTATGGTGCAGAGGCCGCGCCGTGCCCCCCGCCACTCCCTGCGATCCTTCCGAATCCAGCGGAGCCTTGCAAACCTGGCCAATACTTGTTGCTTCGTTTGATTATTGAAAGACGCTTAATTTTTTGGCAATATATTTAATAGACTTATTTGGTAAAGCCTCAGCTATTGCCGACATATTCAATAGTGTTGAATATGTTGTCGTTGATAATTGAGGATATACGAGTCTGGTTAAATACATTTCCGAAAAGCGAACGTGTATAAATGATCAAACAAAGCAAGGAATATCATGGGATATTTAGCTGCACTTGGCCTGTGCCTGGCAGACCAGAGAAATCGATCGCACGAACTAACCAACCAGAATCCAACATGGACACAATGGCCACGTGCTCGTGTTGTCAATGCAGTAGGCGCAAACGGCGTACTTTATACGTTTGATGATTGAAAACGTTTAAAACACCTCCTTGATTTGCCGATTGTATATTTTGTCGATAACTGAGCACACATTAAGTAAAGTATTTAACACGTCATTGATAATACTAAATATGTTTATTAAATATATCGTCCAAAAATGAAACATGTGTAAAAGGTCAAACTTAGCAACAAATAAAATGCTATCCAGGAGCGGCGGCGAGCGTGGCAAAGGCGCGCGCACGCGGTGCCCGTGCCGCTTCCCGCACGGCGATCTCAAACCGCGTGGCGAGGCCACCGCGGTTTGGTGTCCGCTTCTCTGCGCCGTGAGCGGCACAGTTGCAGCCCACTTGAACGAGCGGCAACTTGCGTGTGGCCGCGATGTCCGTGCAATGCAGAGAGGGGCAACAGCATGGTGGCGCGCGGTGACAGACCGACTCGACGTGACCCGTCGTTCGCTCAATACGCGGCAACGGTTGTACAGGTATTTAACGGTGGCGGGGGGGGGGGGGATGACAACAGCACACCTGGCAAGCAAGGCACTGTGGTTGGTTGCGGTTGGGTCGTGTTTTACTGCGGTTATTTTAATAAACCTGAAATCTCGAACCCCGGCTGCTGAGACTGCATCGCACCGAGATTGCTGTGAGCACCACACGTGACACCGCGGGTAAGAGCAGGGCGGCTTAGCAGATTGAGGGTGGAGCAACGCAACCGAATACAAACCCTGGCCCTACCCAAGTCACCAGCTAGCCACTAGGACTAGCCGCCCTCTGATCCCAACCAATTAACCGTTCGTAGTAGCCGCCCTCGGACCCTATTCAGCCAAAAGTGCCAGCCGCCCTTTGACACGAACCATCTAGCCACTAGTACTAGCTACCCGCTAACCCTAACCAATTAGCCAACCAGTCACTAATATGAGCCGCCCTCTGACCCTAATCAACTAGCCACGAGTAAAAGCCACCCGTTGGCCCGAACCAACTAGCCAGTCACTAATACTAATGAACTAGTCAGCCAGCTACTCGTACTCGCCCTCTGACCCTAACCCTAAAAAATTAGCCACTAGTACCAGCCCCCTTCTGATCTTAACCCTAACTAGCCACTAGCACAAGTTATCCTCTGACCGTAACCAAGTAGCTACTAACCCCCTCTGACCCAAACCAATTTTCCAACTAGCCATGAGTACTAGCCATCCACTGACCGTAGCCCTAATAAGCCAACTCGTCACTAGTACTAGCCCCCTGACCCTAACTCCTAACAAAATCGCCAACTAGCCACTATTACTAGCCACCCTCTGACCCAAGCTCTAATTAACTAGGCAACGAGCTACTCGTCTTGGCCCGTCTACTAACCCGACCACCTCGAGTGCTTTTCCAAGGCCCCATTTTGTTAGATCTCCTACTCTGGTTTTATCAGCAACCCACCCCGAGGATCGTCGGGTACCCGTGGATGCGTGACCTCCGGTACAGTCCTATGACCTGGGGGCAGGGCACGGGGGTCCAAGAGTTCAGCCCGGTGCAGGTGCCAAGCAGCTCGAGCCACGACCACCCCTCGGTCAGCTCCGGGCCCTGGCCCCAGGTCTTCCCTTCCTTCTGTGCCACGTGGTCTCGCCGGGGCTCAAGAGCTACTGGATATCTGTGAAAAAAGCTTTATAGCTCATCGGATTGTTCCAGTATAAATCCATATTGATTCTGAGCTAAAAGGAATCAAGCTGCACAGCAGTCCATTAAAGAAATCTCCATACATGTTTAGGGGATTTGTACTCGGCTGGGAAAAGTGAGCGCGTGACAGATGTATGCGCGGGGCTCCAGGAGCCGATGGTCACGCGAGACCGTAGCTGGATGTGCCAGGGGCAAGAGTTGGACACCCACGTGCTCGTGTTCCAGTTCACGTAAAAGCGATCGCGCTGCTGCGTGGCCGTGCCACTCTTTCACGAAAACCACTGCACCAATCCGATATCCGGCACTGGCCGGCTGGCAGGGTGTACACGCGGTGACGTGCTTTCGCGATGGGCTAAGCGGGTTTTCTTAGATTTAAGTGAAAACACGCGAAGGGTCCACAAAAAAAATGCAAAGTTTATTATCCTTCCCAGGCAAAGCAGTTAAGGAGCTTATCAGCACCCGTGAACACGAAGTGAGTGGAGCGCGGCAGTTAACTGTGTCAGTGTCTTTTGATTTAAAGCTTTCGTGACTGCAGTAATTCATATTCTTAGCTCTTTCGGTAAAGTCACGTTGAAGGGAAACAATGAAATAATATATATAATTATATTGTTGTTATATATTTATTATTTTATTGCTTCCCTTCAATGTGACTTTACCGAAAGAGCTAAGAATATATTTGTGTCAGTGTCTCTTTATCCATGTAAAGACCACCGCGCTTCAATGAGTGCAGCACCCAGGCCCTCGGGAACGTGCACAGCTCGTGGTTTGCGAGCGCACGCTCACGCCAAGCAAGCCGAGAGGCACGTGCCTGCCTAACACACAAGGCGACAAAGGCCCTCACTATACTGTGACCTCAGGCTTCATCCATACCCCTTGAAACAATGCCCACTGGGCATATTAATATAATTAACCACGTCGTTTGACGAACACTTACGTTGCATAAAACACCAAACGGAATTTCGCCCGGTCGATTTAATTCCAGGCACATTCAAGGGATAAGCACTTGAGGTGTTTGATGCAACTGGCCACGAAACTGTAATGACGTTCGCCACAAGACGCCCCTGGACACATCTTGCTCGGTGTAGTTCAAAGCAGCGGGATGTACACGGGGAGGCTTTTTGCGTTTAAAAAAAGTGATGTTGACATTAACACGGATGGGGGAAACTCTGCGGTTAAGCACAGACACCGTCAATCTCACGAACACACACACACGGTGCCCACCGCCGCTGTGCAGGAGTCACTCTCCTACAGAGAGAGGCGCGAGGAGGAAACACGTGACGAGCAAAGGAAGCAGATGTGGAAGTGAGCCGGCAAAACCGGAGCACCCAGAGAAAACCCACGCACGGTGAGGGGGAAATACTCGATCCTACACAGATGGAACAGGTGGAGTCCACCATTTTGGCCGTACCGCCTTCTTCTAGCGAGCCAGGGTAAAGCAACTACTCAACGCCCACGGGAAGGGGAGTTCCGGAATATTTGTGCGATCCGCCAGCCCTCGTTGCTGCCACCACAGTGCTCGGTTGCAGACCACGCATGGCGTAGCTGCCACCGCCTCCCGGCAGCAGCTGAACTTAAAAAGGAAACAAGTCGCCCACATGTTCCACGTGGCGGCAACTGCAAGCTTATCTTGGGTGAGCAACGCTTCTAAGTTGAACAGCCCGAGCTCAACGAATCAAACGCACAGCCGTGCAATTTGTTATGGAGACCTCTCGGATTTGGACAAAAGTACCACCCAGATTGAGAACTACTGATTTAGGGAAGCAACCCTGGAAAGATACAACAAAACAACACCTATGGTCTCCACGTTGAAAACAAAGACATACACGCACGAAGCAACTACACTTCACCCCCGAGTGAGACTCGATGCATTCTCTTCCATGTCGCTCGCCCTGTGTTGGTGACCCATCCTGTTCGCCCCGTCCCACTCTCTCCATCTCGTCCACACCGTCTCATCCGCCCCATTACTCTACAGGCGGTATTCGTTTATAATTTGTACCGATCATAAAGAACAGATTCTCCAGGGGTTACTCGACACAAGGGGCGTATGTTGATTGGGGAAATCGCTCCGTGTCCCCGAGCTCACACGTTGACAGTGGCGGAATCTTGGCACAGCGATCCGGGCTAGCCAGCAAACAAGTGCACCTTCCCGTTCGAGTTGCAGGCCACGAGCACGGGTCGCGTCGGGTGAAAGGCGATCACCGTGCAGATGCTCGATATCTCCTCCTTCCCCACCACCAGCAGCTTCTGCCCTGCATTCGCGCGAAAGAAGCCAAGTATAAGAGGCAGGATGCTTCCCCACAAGAAAGCGACGCACGCAGACATCGGAGGGGCTCACGCTAACGATGGGACAAGTTATCTAACAACGCAAGATCGAGAGGTCATAGTGGCCAAAGCTGCCGATGTCGCCACCACACCTCACTGCCAACGCATTCTACCCCCTGCTAGATCCTGCAGCTGCCACGCAGAAGACACGCGGACCTCCAAGGTAACGCATCGTCCGATCTTTGGTCTTCCCCTTGGTCGCCGAACTCATGGAGGCCACTCCGATGCCTGTCTCGCTAACACGCACTCCCAGCGCACACGTCCAACCCCGCTTAATCATATCTCCAACATTTAGCAGGTCACTCTGACAAATGAGGCAATGTCCTAGTCTCTTGAGATCACACCTGGTTACACAGCATAAACTCGATACCTGCCATGTTCTCCTCGGGGACGACGTGGGGGCAGGGGGACGACGTGGGGGCAGGGGGACGACGTGGGGGCAGGGGGGCGGGGCAGGGGGGCGGCGTGGGGTAGGGGGCGGTGTGGGGATAGGGGACGATGAGGGGTAGGGGGACCATGTGTTGGCCTCCTCACCTGTGGCTGAGAAGACGTCGAGGTGGCGTGGCCACTCCATGCTGCCGCACATCCACATGTCCTCGCCGCCTGGCACCCAGATGGCTCTCATCGGCAAAAGCCATCGGCCCGTGTCGTTATTATGGCTGAGCACAATGGCAGGACCACCACAACACCTCGTCATCGTCGTAATCATTTTCATCACTATCACCCCTCCAATAATAACTTGTAATGTGCACAGTATTTGCTCACTCCCGTAGACAGAGGACGACTGAGTGGCGCGAGAAGGAACCACAGACGAGCCGGGATGCAGCAACGGCCACATGACCAGGAGCCGACGATGACAATAACTGCCCAAGCTCTGCGGTCCTCTATATGTGTTAAGGTGTTATCAGCCAATTAATGAGTGTTTGCATGTGGGAGGAAACCGGAGCACCCGGAGAAAACCCAAGCGTGTGAGGGGGCAACACACTATCCCATACAGACAGAACAGGGAAGTATCACAACCTCTGTGTGTGATCTACCAAACCTCTCTGCTACCGCCCAACAGCGCTGGATCACAGGCAGCGACGTGCAGCGTAGACACCACCGCGCGCGGTATTCAACCGTCACGCTCGTCGCACTCGTCACACCAACATTCTCACCCGACAGCGGGTGAATGTTTAACGGTGGGCACGTGACGATATTATTGAGCCATTGCTCCTTGAGAGCTCAGTTTTTGTAGGTTACAAGTGTTCGGAGCCACGTGTGTGGAACTCGTGTTCATGGTTATTTACACAAAGCAGAATGCAGAGGGGTTAATGTCATTGCCCCCGTAACTGCCTTGCCACGTGACAGAACTGCAGAAGTTGTCGTCATTTTTACTCGTGCAATTATTAATCACGTAATCAGAGCGAAGAAAGCTTGGCCAATTATGCCGACAATAATTCAGCAGACATTTTCGCCTCCATCCCATATCTGTCCTTCCAGAAAATAATAAAGGTACTGTTTTCATATCCCATCAGCCAACACGGCCTTCCTTATGTCAGTTTAAAATGTGGTCACCTTTGTTCAACGCAAGAAAAACTCTGTACCGGTTTAAAACGTCCAGTGTTTTAAACCGCAGCAATGTCAGGCTTGCTAGAAACATGGTGAATTTCCATATGTTTGAAGGCAAGACAACCTGTTCTAGTTCAACACAAAGACCCCCCATATAGCCTTAAGACTGTTGGGGCAAGAGCTGTTAGCGAGCACCTATATAGGCCAGCACAGTACACGAAGGGGTGGGTGGTCAGCACCACGCCCAGCCACATTTGTCTCCCCAGTGGCGATGTTAACACACCGCACCAGGTACTCATTTTCGGATGAGTCGATATAAATGGGGCCCAGGACCGGTTTAGATAATCGTCACGTCCCGGGTCGCCGGGTTCATAGCCTGGTGCGCTAACCTCTACACCACTGCTCCCCACAAACCTATATAACACACGTACACAACACAATCATCCTAATTGGCCGCCACTGGCTCATTAAGCACGTGAACGCCGAGGGTCCTCACGGGATCCCAAATATACGCAGGGAGTCATAGAGAGACATGAAGATTCTGAGATAGAGACACATTAAAGACGAGCCACAGTAGTGTGATTGTAGCCATGTATCCCAATCCTGTGGAATATATAGTAAACCACTGTAGTCTGCGCTCTTTCAATGGAGGAAGAACAGAAAAACTACACAAACTCTCTCCTGAAGCCCTCTCGTCGTGGCCAGCAGACCTCAACATTGCCATTTAGCTCCTGAAAGTATTGCTGCTGCTGATGCCATCGTGCATAAGAAGAGAATACGGGCCATGGGTACAAAGAGGCCATCGCGGTGGTCGTGTGGTGTGCACATGGCGCAAAATGCCCACTCACCATATCCTGGCGGTGCGAGTGATCTGCGAGCCCAGAACGCGGGTCTGGTACACACTGCACACACGCGGCAACAGAAGAGCACAGAGCCCCCACTGAGTAACACCATGACGCTTCACCATGGCTTCATTTGTTTTCAGCTCACCCAGGAAAGTCTGACCGGGTCTCAGGTCCCTTTTTCAAGAAGGTCATGCCAAGTCTTTGCAGAAGGGAGGCAATGTTGCTGATGCTGCTGTGTAGTCCCAAATTTGTAAGTAATTTGCAGCATCATTTTTGCAGCATTGGGATGTTTGTTTGGCCAATACCGGTTACATTTTGTGTAGCTATGGGAGAAAACCGGAAAACAGTAGAGGAAACCCATACAGAACAGGAGAGAACATAAAAGCTCCACACACTCAACTCCACACACTCACAAAACACTCCTCACACTCTGCAGAACAGATCAGAGAACAGATCAGAGAACATAGAAACTCCACGCAGAGACATGCCCGAGTAGGGAATTGAACCCGGGCTCTTCCTGCCGCATGACAACTGTGCTGGCACCACCATGCCGCCCGGGCTAACGCGTCACTACCTCTATTGAGAAGCAGATATTCTCAATGAGTAGCCCTCTTTCTGCCCATGCTCCAGTCTTCAGTGACACACATCAGAGAGTGGCACTGTGCAGGTTTCTGTCGTTCAGTCAACACTAAAATATGACTCAAGTGTTTGAGTTTATGTTTTATCCATAAGAGGTTTTTGGGGTTCGATCGCCTAAATATATAAATGTGTCGTTAAAACCCGCCACACCCAACACGGCCAACTAGTGAGTGTTGTCACGTAAACAGAACGTGGCCAATTCGTCACTAGTACAGCACACTGGTGTGTTGGAGAGCCAAGCCACAACATTCACAATCTGAGCACGACGCTTCGCCAGTAATTACAACTAGCTTCATCAGGCGACAGCCAGATTTGTTGACACATTTATAGATTTACGCGATCTAACCCAAAAAAACCCTCTATTATGGATGCTATTGGTCGTGAAAGCCTACCACGTGTTAAACTTTATTTTTTTTAGTTCTCACGAGAAATGATTGCAACATACGGGGTGACATTCCACAGCTGTGTGATGAGAGGGACAGACGAGGTGCATTGGACTCGATCGCTGCTAGCACCTCTAAGCGAGTGTCATCTTCTACAAAGGTTAATTCGTCTCTCTCGTGGGGTCCAGCACATTTTTATTTTCCCCAATTGTATCCCGGTTGTGCTACGGGCACGAGCGTCATGCCACGAGATAAAGCATCCTTTCGGATCTCTCCCAGGCAGTGCATGTATTGGAGACTAGCGTGCCAAAGGGGATATAACAGAACTACCTCTGACCCTTCAAGCTGGGGTACAAGCAGATGGATAGCCGAATGCATGTGTATAAGTGGGGAGCGGTAACACAGCGTTTAGCGTGCTGCACTACGAACCCGGCGACCCGAGTTCGACTTAACCAGTCCTGGGCCTCCTCTAGGTCGACTCATTCAGAATCAGAATCTTTCTTTAAATGAGTACCTAGTGCAATGTGTAAGCATCAGCACTAGGGAGACAAAGGTGGCCAGGCGTGGTCCTGACCACTCACTCCCTTGTGTGCCAACCTTCAAACGTGCTCGCTAACAGCGCTTGCTCCAACAGTCTGTTGAAGGCTATAGAGGGGTGGGGGGTTGATCTTTGGCTTTGCTTGTCCAGACTCATCTCTCACTGCATGGAGTTGTCAATGGAGGTGGTGAGCAGGCGGCTGCCGGTGAGCGGTGAGAAGTACGCCGAGTGCACCACCCGGCTGTGCTGCTGTAGCACGGCCACGGCGGTGGCAGCGGTGCCGCTGCGTTGGCCCACGCCCATCGCACGGACGTCATGGATCTGTACGGTGCTGATCGCACAATGACGCCACAAACCGCACCACACCTTATCTCATCTATATTTACACAGCACGTTTTCCGTGGTGCTTTACAGCAATTATAACATTGTACGCAAGACGGTAGTGGTTTGAGATGAAGAATGAAGTTATTAAAAGTGGTGGTGTCGTTTTAGTGTCAGGAGAACAGGCAGGAGTGTTAAGGAGGGGTTGGAAAAGGCCTGGTTGTTGCAACCGTGATCATCGACTCTCACGACTTGGGGTTGGAATCCCAGATCCTGGAACATCTCTACTCCAGTTTACAAAGGCCAGCACCAGTTACATTTCTGTGATTTTTTGCAACAACAAAAACGTTAAAACCCACACACATACATTGTAACTGGTATTGGCCAAAACATCCAAACGCTGATAAATAAATTACCTGAAAATTAACTAATTGTGGATTACACATCGCAGCGATCATCGCTCACCCCTCCCCCCCAATCCATTGCGGAGCTTTGGCAAAAACCTACCTGAAAAATTGTCAGGAAACCCGCTGAAGCTTTCCTGGGTAAACAAATATCTTAAATTAAAAGAATAATAATCATAATGCTGTGGCCAATTCTCATTTGTCGACGTGTGGATCGTTCGGGTTTGCGAAATAACCGTTAATTTAACACGTGTCCTTAACACAAACCGTGCTTGCGACGGAGGAAATGAAACAGGACATTCATTATATCACGCTCATATTCATGCCTTGCACACACACTGGAGCAATGATTAAGCTGCTGCTCCTCACTCGTGACCCAGTGACCGATTTACAGGAAACACAGGCACCCGACTATACCTTCACCCCCCACCGTATGCAGGTAAACCAATAAAATACTTCCTTATACCCGAGATAACATCTGCTTTGCATTATCCCTCTCGTTACCCCGGATATGATCGTGAATTGATAGCGTTGCCTTGGCCGTGCCGTCAAACTTCAGAGCTCGCTTCTAATCGGACCAATGGTAGATATATATATTTTTTATCAGTCAAGGGTTCGAGGTCAAATAAGCTACATTTTTCTGGACGGCATAAACCCCAATCCTTAAACCACCACTGTGAGCGGTCCCATCATTAGCTGCTGTGTCCCCTAGAAAGTCGAAGCAAACTAAAACTATGAGTTTCGATTTAAAGCTTTCGTGACTGCAGGGATTCATCTTCTTAGTTCTTTTGGTGAAGTCACGTAGAAGGGAAATAATAAAATAATAAAAATAAAACATAATAAAATTCTCACGACGTTTCGGCCACAACACAAGTAGCCGTCCTCAGGTGAAGAAACAGAACTGTCAGAAAGACAGCGCTGTCTTTCCGACAGTTCTGTGGCCGAAACGTCGTGAGAATTTAATATTATTGTTTTATTTTTATTATTCTATTATTTCCCTTGTACGTGACTTTACCGAAAGAACCAAGAACATAAAACTATGAGGTCAAGGAAATTAAAGTTCCAATAAGAGAGACGTATAATACCCTTCTTATTCGTATGGCCGATGTAGATGTAATTTTACATTGAGGTGGTTAATGAACCAGATGATTACATCAGTAGCAGAGTATTTCTGTGACAATACCTACTTCATATAGAGCTCTGGGTGAGTCTATGGGTTTCCTTGTGAATATATAGATCTGTTTTCTTATTCGTTTGGCTGATGTTGATGGAGAGAAAAAGTTTTATTTTTACAATGAGGTGGTTGATGAACCAGACGACTTCATCAGGAGTAGCGGAGTGGTGAATAATCGGTGATGACCTCTCTCCCTTCATATTCGTGAAACGGGCATTCAGTCTACGTTATAAGTTCCATGGTTCTGTTCTGAATTACGACCACAGTCTCCGCACACTGCCAGAGGATTTTACATTTGTGCATCAACAACAATATCATCATCATCAGCTATCAGCATCTACTGCTGCTGCTGTTGTTGCCGTGGTTGTGCGGCGGATGTGGTTTTGGGGTTGTGGCCCAGAAGCTTTGCAAAATATCCAAGCCAGAGATGTACTGCGCCGGGTCTTTCACATGGTATTTATGACCTCCCAACCATTGACTTAAGACCCACCATGTGACCACGGCCAAGCGTCATTAGGAATCCATGTAAACACAGGGAACCCAGGCAACCAACAACCACCTCTTCACACAAGCTGACACTGGACTACCGATCAGCTAGGACTATGTAACAACTGATGCTCTGACGAGGGTTAATGACAACTGAATCACAAATACACCTCCTATCGTAAATACAGTAGCGTTTGTTATTCATCACTGCCACTGTTATCATCAATAAGAAACGTATTCACATCCGGCCAAAGTGCAACTACCATGATCATAAAGCTATAAAACTGTTGGTAAATCTCAACCACATATCTAATCTATGGATCGGGCCTTATGTGAGTGTTGCATTGCCTTACTGTGCTGCCCTATGAGAACGCAGACTTGCTGAAGAAGTCTCACAAGCATTGATTTTCTCTTGATTGAGCAGCGGTAAGGGCGGGTGGCGAGGAGTGAGAGTGGGTGGGTGAGCGTGGGTGGGCGGGAAGCATTCGTGAGCAGTAAGGGTGGGTTGGTGGTGAGGGCAGATGGTTAGCGGTGTGGGTGGGTGAGCGAGCGGTGAGGGTGGGTGGTGAGCGGTGCGCACACTCGCCAGTCGGTGGACGCCGTCACAAAGTAGTGCCTCTGCGTGGGGTGCACGTGCACTGAGTGGACCCTCTTCTGGTGCACCATCCACTTCTGCTCGCCACACTTCCTGCGAGAAGACAGCAACGTGGCCACGCTCGGCTATGCCGGGAGGGCGAGGTGGAGGGCGAGGTGGCGGGTGACGTGGCGGGCGAGGTGTCGAAGGAGGTGGCGGGCGAAGTGGGGGGCGACGTATTGAGCGAGATGGCGGACGAGGTGGCGGGCGAGGTGGCGAGCGATGTGGCGGGCGAGGTAGCGGGGAGCGAGGTGGCGTGCGAGATGGTGGATGAGGTGGCAGGCGAGTTGGCGGGTGAGGTGGCAAGCAAAGTGGCGGGCGAGGCTGTGGAGCAAGGGCGCCGGTGGAGACAGGCCCTCCTCCCACACCCAGCGGGAGCCTCACCTCGGGCTCCTGCAGTCGACGAGCTCCACGGCGCCGTCGCGGCGGCCCACCAGCAGCGAGGCACCATCCTCAGCCTGGAAGTCGAAGCTGGTGAGGCCCACATGTTCATTCGATTCGCCGGCGTACACCTTGGGACAACCACAAGATGGACGAGTAAAATGGAGAGACGCCACAGGCGGACGAGGGGCATTTCCACTCATCGTGAACGCAGGTGTACGGTATGGCAAGGGAATGGAAAGAGTGCGTTACACGCCGAGATATCACAACAATACGTCGCAGAACTCACAAACACGTGCAGCGGTGAGTACAACTATCTCTCAGGCTTCAAGAATCTTTGCAAAACCACCAATTTCCTGCAAAAATGCATGGTGGCCATCTTGTCTTCAGTGACCATCAATACACTGAACAAAATTTAATGAACCAACCGGCAGGGCCGAGACAGGGAGACAACTGTAGAATGGTGTCGTCTGGTCTACAACTGGCCAGCAGCCGTCTCAGGTTGTCGCAGTCGGGGACGAGGTTGCTGCTGTGTGTCATCCCAACTAATTTGCAGGTAATTCTTCAACAGTGGGATGTTTGGCTGATGCCAGTTACATTCTGTGGGTTTTTGGAAGAAAACCGGAGAACCCATGTAGCAGTGGGAGAAAGCACAAACGACTCACGCACTCCGCTCACACACTCATCATGCTCACTCTGCATAACAGTTGTGAGAATATAGAAACTCCACACCCAAAGGCACCAGAATCGGGAACAGAACCCAGGTCCCTTCTTGCCGCGAGCCGCAAGTGTTACCGCAGCGCCACCCCCACCCACCCACCCACGCGGACCTCATCGAAGACACCGTGGTGCAGATCGGCGCAGCGCAGCGAGTCGTCAAAGCTGCTCGAGTAGAGATGCGTGGGCTGTGTCGGCGGGAAGCACAGGCAAGACACGCGGTCGACGTGCGGCCGGAACAGAGTCACGGCTGCGGCCTCCCCCGGCGACGAGTCCTGCAAGCAGTTGCGGAGGGTGAGCACAGAAATTTAGCAACTCCTGCCGATTGGGCGTGCGTGGACGAGAAGTTAGATATCAAAACTATGTTATATTACAAGGTAAGGCCGACTGAGCTATATAGCTCTTTTTTCAGAAGCAACCTGGCCACAAATGATAGTTCAACGAAGTGGCTTATTACGTGGATATTTATGACAGCCAAATACTCTAAACGAGTGTTGATTTTAAATGTTGAGGGAAAAACCTGAGGACCCAGAGAAAAAGCCACGTGATCACGGGGAGAGAGACACCACAAACTACAAATATACAGGTGTCAGTGTTGGGGTTGAACCCACAACATCCTTCATACGAGAGTTCAACGAAGGAGTCCAAGTGACTTCCTGCTCATACGAGCATTGAGGCATCTGTGCTCATCTCCTGAGCAAGTGGTGAAAATTCCACGTTTCTATGGTGGGGGTGAGACTATCCACTGGACAACCAATGCTAACTTCCCCACAAAGTGGTGCACACTTATTAACCCCGCAGTGATGCTGGGCCGCATCAACGACCCAACCAGGAGTTGAACTCACGACCTCTCGACTGCTAGTCACTCGCTCTACCACTGTGCCACTTGGCCGGTTAAATAATAATAAATTTTTACCACATAATATAAAACACAATAAAATACTAAATCGAAATATGAACTTTGATTTCATATTTGGATTCAGCGTGCTCTAAAATCTCCAAATTTACTAACTTTTGTAAATGGAATGAAATAAAAGTTTAAAACAGTCTGTCCTGAATTTTGGGTGGCCCAAAATCGCATATTTGGACTGACTGTAGGTGTGTCAAGTGGCAGCTTCCTAACCCTTCTAGAACATCAAAAGAATCAGTCTCTGACAGCACCATATGCCAAGTCAGTAAAATTGTATTGGGCTGCCCCCTGGTGGTCCATCTCAACACATCCGTCAACCACAGAACAAGCTCCTTATTCGAGACCCAAACATCATCGCACACCTCCTCTGGGCTTTGACATTCCTACTCCTAAAAGACGTTGCTGTAACTATCAACCACATATAAACATCACACAGGCCAGTGCACCACAGCTCCTCCACGAATGTAAAATGAAAGACGCATGTACAGTGTGATTGTAGCCATACGACGCAAACAATGGACCATATGTTAAACACATATAGACAAATATACACAGGGAGTCATGGAGATACATAGGAATTCTGAGATAGAGACACATTAAAGACGAGCCACAGTAGTGTGATTGTAGCCATGCAACCCAAACCTATGGACTATATAGTAAACCAGTGTAGTCTGCGCTCTTTCAAGAGGAACAGAACAACACAAACTCTCTCCTTAAGTCCCCTCGTCGTGCCGAGCAGACCTCGACATTGGACATTCAGCTCGTGAACATCTTGCTGACATGTTTTTGCACCTCTGATTAGCATGGTTGGCTATATATGGTGTAAAATAAGTGATTTCGTACAACACGGAGCCAACCGTGATAATCAGATGTGTGGGAGAACAGAATAAAATATCGTTGTGGCCATGAAAGAAAATGTTTATAGTTGGCAACATTTTCGACAAAGGCGCTCTTTCAAGGCACATAAAAAGGCCAGAGAGGAAGGGTGGCTAAGAGTTGGAGACTGCACTTTCAGACCATGGGTTCTGATGAAAAGTCTATTTCCATTTTTTCCTGATGAACAGGGTTTAAATAGGCCTATGAATAGTCACCTATTAGTCGCTATTGAGTAACAAACCCTCTATGATCGGGTCTCACCACTCGGACACCATAAGCATTAAATATTTACGTAATATCAATAGATCTATATATATAAAAGTCACAAATTGTGGCGGGGTTTGTGTGTCGTCGCGCGCTTGGCTCTCCAACGGTGGGGTTTACGTAAAAAAAATTGCCAGGTACCACGCCGTAAGCCCCGCGGTCAGCAAGCGCTATTCCTTTTTCACATCCGTCAACTTTAAATTAGTTTAATTAGCGATTTAGTGCGATTTTAGTGTGCTTCGCTTTTATTTATTTAATTATGATGCGTGCACGACCGTACCAACTCACGCGCCTATTGGTGGGGGAACAGCCCATGCCAAGTTGCGCGCCTTCGGTAGGAGTGAGGGGGACATTTTATTTCGCGTTAAAAATGCTATAAAAATACACTAAACGCTCAGGTAAATTCTTCACTGTGTGATGTCCCCCCCACCCCGATGCGTGCAGTTATTACTACTATACAGTCGCTAGATGCTACCACTATAGGCCGTAGATATTACTGCAGAGCAGCCGGGGAGATCGTGGCTGAGGGGGGGTGGGGTCAGCGGTAGCAGCCCAGCCCCAGCCTGCCAAGGTGCCACCTCAGCCGGCTGGACAATCTAGGCGGGACTAGGCCTCACCACGCCACTGTCAGGTGAGTACTTTGTGCTATAGAGTCGACAAATACTGCTACAGAGTTAGCATGTACTACTGTAGTGATAGAATGTAACACCACAGTCGGTATGCACTGCTGTAATCATAGCAGGTACCACCACAGTCAGTATGCACTGCTGTAATCATAGCAGGTACCACCACAGTCGGTATGCACTGTTGTAATCATAGCAGCATTGCTGCAGTGAAAGCAAGTACCACCACCACAGTATGCACTGCTGTAATCATATCATGTACCACCACAGTCAGTACGCACTGCTGTTAGATTTTTAAGAGTAGTTTTTAAATATTATTAAGACCGGGGCAACGCCGGGTACTTCCCGCTAGTATAAATATAAAAGTCTAAATTGTGTGTGGGTTTGTGGCAGGGTTTGTGTGTGGGTTTTGTGTGTGGTCGCGCGCTTGGCTCTCCAACGGTGGGGTTTAAAGTAAAAATTAAACAGCCAGGTACCACTCCGTAAGAACCATGGTGAGCAAGCGCTATTCCTTTTTCACATCCGTCAACTTTAAATTAGTTTAATTAGCGATTTTTGTGTGCTTACCATTCATTACTTTATTCATGACGCATGCACGACAATACCAAATCACGCGCTTTTGGTGGGGGGGATGGCCCATGCCAAGTCGTGCGCCTTCAGTGGGAGTGAGGGGGACATTTTCTTTCGCGTTAAAAATGCTATAAAAATACACTGAACGCTCAGGTAAATTTTTCACACTGTGTGATGTCCCCCCCACCCCGATGCGTGCAGTTATTACTACTATACAGTCGCTAGATGCTACCACTATAGGCTGTAGATATTACTGCAGAGCGGCCGGGGAGATCGTGGCTGGGGGGGGGGGGGTCAGGGGTAGCAGCTCAGCCCCAGCCTGCCAAGGTGCCACCTCGGCCGGCTGGATAATCTAGGCGAGGCCGGAGGCTTTTCACAGGACTAGGCCTCACCACACCACTCTGTCAGGTGAGTACTTTGTGCTATACAGTCGATAAATACTGCTATAGAGTCAGAATGTACTACTGTAGTGATAGCAGGTACCACCACAGTCGGTATGCACTGCTGTAATCACAGCAGGTACCACCACAGTATGCATTTCTGTAATCATAGCAGGTACCACCACAGTATGCACTGCTGTAATCATAGCAGGTACCACCACAGTCAGTACGCACTGTTAGATTTTTAAGAGTAGTTTTTTTATTTTTTTTAAGACCCGGGCAACGCCGGGTACTTCCCGCTCGTCAATATATAAGTATGAACATGCATTGCAAAGTATTAATACCAGTCACGTTTTGCCCAAAATAACATAACTTTTTGATATGAAACGTCGCTTCTGTATAGTGACGTGAAGTGCATAGATCTGGCCGGAAACGCAAGAATAGATATGCTACAACAGCATTCACCACAGCTGTGGCAAATGCCCTTGTATTTTTCAACATTTCGGTCCTGTACATAGTCATGAGGATGCTGCAACTTGTGGTGTAATGGTCAGCGCGCTGGAGTGGCAATCCCAGAGGTCGCCGCTTAAGATTCTTCCAGCGCGGCAGTGGAAACATTGGTGCAGGTTTCTCAAATCCCCCCCGACTGCCTCTGTCCACCCAGCAGTATAAATGGCTACCACCAGAGTTAGAAGAACAGGAAGGGCTATGTGTGGGTAGAGTAAGGTATGGGTGGGTACACCCAGACAAGGTGTGGATGGGTACACTCACACCTCCTCTAATATGTCTGGTCAACATGGAAGAGGAGACCAAATACCCTGCAGAGTTCCCTCTACGTGGAGGGAGCAAAAAATTGCAGGGCTGCACCTTTACCTGCTTTACGAAGTCACGGTGCGTGTGGCATCACTGCAGTGCCACCATCGGTCACAATGTGACCAGATCCATGCTCGTGGTCCAGTAAAAGCTTCACACACAGATGAGTTTACAGATGATGCTCAGCTCGTTCGTTAGTGTAGTGAAGTAGTCACTTTTCTCACGACAATTCCCTTCGTGCTGAACCCACCAGGTCCCAGAAGACCACGTTGCCCTGGCTGTCCCCAGCAGCCATGAGGACGTGGTCCATGGTTGGGTGCACGGCCACCGAGCAGATTTTCTCCCTCATCACCTTGGCGATACGGCAGTTGCCCTGACGCAACCCGAGCAGCCACGCAGAGTCGCAAGGCTCGCGACCATCAGTCTCAACGATCTGTTTTGACGACACAAACACGTGTGCCAATCAGCACACCACCGTCAAAAAGACACAATCATCTTGCTTTGCGTGCTTCATTGGGTGAGTTTCATCTCCCGGTTAAAGAGGAGATTTTGACCGACTGATCCATGTGCTCGGAGCTAACAGGCACTTGCCCTCACGGTAACTGTTCTCTGGTGGTGGCTATGCATGTGCCTCTAATCTAGCAGTGCGGAGGCAGTGAGGGTTGGTGGATCGCAGAATTGTTGGGAAACTCCATTGCCGTGGACGTCAAGGAGCCATATGCTGGTTTGCCAGAAGGCAGTAACAACAAAAATGTCGACTCCACTCATTCTATCTGATTAGGATAGTGTTCTCCCTTGCATGCGTCCGTTTTCTCTAGGTGCTCCGGTTTCCTTCCACATGTATAGACGCTCATTAATTTGGCTGATAACACCTTAAAATATAGAGGGGACCGCAGTGCTGGGGCAAAAGTTGGCGCCGACTAATCGCGCGGTTGCCTTCCCGCTTGTCTGTGGTCCCTCGCGCCTACGAGTCGTTCTCTCGCTCCCTCTCACTATTCGTGTGAGCGAATACTGTGCGAGTTACAAGAGGGAATTATTTTTGTATTATTTCACTCGTTAACCCCAGGAAAGCCTCACCGAGTCTACTCTTCTTCAGGAAGGTCCTGTAAACATGTTGCAGTCGGGGTGAGGGCAATATCGCTCTGTGCGATCCCAATTAGGTCATTTGCATTTTTCCACTTTTCGGATGTTTGGCCAATTCCAGTTGCATGGTGGTGTGTTGTTCTTCTAGTTCAGTGGTTCTTAACCTGGGGTGCACACACCCCCTGGAGGTGCGAGATGCCATTTCTGGGGGTGCGAGACATGCCAGATCTTTTTAGAAGGTAAATCATCGGAACACAAATTAAGCACGGGCACGTAAGTACAAAGGGGTGCAAGGCTGCAGTAAAGGTTAAGAACCGCTGTTCTAGTTGATTCGACAGCAAGCGCGGCACCTACATCACACGCAACACAAATTTCTGACGGCGCATACCTTCCCCCACTCACCTCGCTTTTCCTCCACACCTCGAGTAGGGCATTCTGCTCCTCCATGGACAGGTTGGTGGCCTCCATCTTCAGTGGCCCAGATGCCCTGAGCTTCTGTGACAAGAAACATGCAGTCAACGCGGGAGATCCACAGGCCGGAGCGGGTAGCGTCGTGCGCGTGTGTGGCCTTAACATGCACATGGCCTGGCACAAGCGCCGTGGTGACATCACCGCCACTTAGTGGCGAATGGCGGTTGTTGATATTGTTGTGTGTGTGAGGTTTATTTTTATTAAATCATTGAAAACTCAGCGGATGAGGAATAGCTTCGTTTGCAAGGCGACCTGGGTCGCACTCAGGTGACCAAATTCGCAAGTTTTCGCAGCAAACATGATTAAAAACAGAGGGTTGGGTTGGGCCACGTAATCATCTGAACGAATTTGTGTCGTTAAGAGCCTCTGCCACCGAATCACTGCCCAAACAAATTAAATAGTCACTTTGATGAGCATTCATTGATGCACCAATTACTATTGTTTCGGCTCACTCGCCGGTGAGTTACATAACAACAATCGCAATCACATCTATTGGCTACATATTTGTTTTTATATTTCTTGGGGGATTCTCACAACAAATCCAACCTTACCCCTATCCATCCAAACCCACCATCACTACCGCTGCTGCACCCACACTCCCACCTGGTCCACTACCCAAACAAGCCCTACCCTGTGTACGAAGGAAGGGGCAGGGCCTATTCAGAAAGAGGCGGGCCCTAAAGAAGAAGAGGTGCAGGGCCTAAAATAGAAAGGTGGAGAGCCAAAAGAGGAAGAAAATGCGTGGCCTAATAAGGAAGGAGCAGTGCCTAGAGGTTGATGAGTTACGTTCGCTGAAGGTGACTGTTCCATTCTGAAATTGTAAGCAAAAGTTCGCTAACTATAGGGCAGTCATAGACATAGGAACGGATTCCATTCTTGAGACCCGTTCGTAAGTCGAACGGTTCATAAGTCGGAACAGAATCATGCACATACGGTCAGTGTTATAAAATGTGTTACGGTTCAACAAAAAGGAAAGCATTGTTAAACTCACAAGAATAAATATTGTACACTTACATATAATACTGTAAAAAAACTGTATAGTACAAAAAACAGAAATAAAGGAACAAAAATAGAAAAAAAGATTTGTTTTATTTTCACTTACCTTGAGTCCTGATGCTGGCTTGCTTGTCGGAAGAGGCACAATGAGTCACCACAATTGCACACAAAGACAAAGATCCCCTGTATAGCCTAAAAATACTGTTGGAGCAAGTGCTGTTAGCGAGCACCTATGAAGGCCCGGTGCGGCACACAGGAGGATCGCTCTGCTGATCAAGATATTTATGCGGTTTAGTTTGCAAGTGTGAGTTCTTGTCTTAAGTCGATATTAAAAATAATATTTTATGGAAGGTGGTTTCTCATAAGTGTGGGTGTTCGTATGTCAGGTGGTTCTAAGTCGAGGACTGCCTGTACAGAAAAGCATTGGATTTTGCTTGTACTAGCTATCTTTTAGCTACTTTTAACTAATGCCTGGAATAACCCAAAACATTTTTTTCAACTGTTCATAGACTTTTCCATTCATAATTTTCCCCTTCTTTCTTTTCCACAACTGAAAACCAAGCTGACCAGTTTTGTTAGTATTTTTTAAAACAAAATCAACATAATCCATCTCTCAATTGAATCTCTGCCTCCAACCACCTTGTCAACTATTCCCAATCTAATGAAGATTTCAAATTTCTCTGTATTTTTTTTACTTTCTTTGCCTGAAGTTACTGGTAGTTAGATCCCAGCCCACTTACTGTCACTCTGGATCTTTTTCCTTCCAAGCCCTTTCATTCTAACTTTCCATCTCTTGCTGCGTTCATCACTAATCTCTTTAATAATTCACTCAATTATGGTTCTGTGCCTCTGCTTAAGAAGCCTGGCCTTGAACCTGAGGTCATCAGTAATGATCTCCCCATCTCAAAATCTGCCTTACCTCTTCCAAGGTCCTCCACAGCGTGTTATTGCCATGCAGCGCCAACACCACTTGCTCGTGAGTGACCTTCGAAATCCCTTTGAGTCTGGTTTCAGGCCTGGTTTCATTACGGACCCAGCCCTGTTGAGGGTTGTGGATGATGTGTTGGTTGCTGCAGATGCAGGCCTGTCTAGTGTTATCGTCATTTTGGACTTGAGTGCTGCCTTTGACGCGGTCGATCATCTCATCCTGCTCGAGTGATTGGAAGGCTACATGGGGTTTTTTGGCATTGCCTTGAGCTGGTTCACTTTCTACCTCTCCAATCGAAAGCAGTTTGTCAGCCTTGGAGGGCAACAATCCGATACATGTTCTGTTCCATTTAGTGTGCATATACATATGACCCCACTCGGTCATATTTTACGCAAACTAGGTCTTTAACTTCCTTGTTATGCTGATGACAATTTACATTCATGCTCAATCTACATTCATGCTCAATCTACCTTTCAAGCATCTGCTTATAGTCTGTCAGGTTCTCTCATGTCTATCAAGACAATCCCACTTTCTTCAGTTACATTTTTATAAGACAGAGGTGTTGCTTGTTGAGTCTCCCCACACCAAATTTATAAACCTGGTTCGGTCCGTCTGACAATCGATGGCCACAATATTGGTGCTCCTCAGGCAGTTCCAAGTCTTGGTGTTTTCCTTGATGCCTCATTAAGCTTTGAAGTGCACATTAACAAGGTCACTAAAGGCTTCCTTTTTTCATCTTAGAAATATAGCCAGGCACCACCCCCATCCTGTATCGGACAATTAGAAGCTGGTTCATGCCTTTTTGTTCTCTCGTATTGATTTTTGTAATTCACTGTTTGCTGGCATCCCCCTTAAACTGTTAAGTCGCGTACAACAATTCGTGCAGAATGTGGCTGCCAGAATTCTTACTCGCTGACATCTCTCCTTTGGCTGCCGGTCTGGTTTTTGAGTAGAGTTCAAGATTCTTCTCCTCACCCACAAGGGTGTTAACGATGTTGTTCTCATCACATATAAACAGGACCTCCTTCGGCCATGTATTCTAACAAGAGTGCTTTGGTCTTCCAAGTCTGGTCTGTTGTGTGTGCCGAGGTCACATCTCTGTACGAGGTTTTCGCGTGGCCCCCAGGATGTAAAATTCACTTCCACTGGACATTCGCTGTGCCGACTGCCTCGTTTAATTCAAACCCCGCCCTTAATACGCACTTATTTTTCAGGGCTTTTCTATTTTGTGATTCCTTTGTTCGATTTTATTGGTGTGAGCCTGCATGCTTGTATGTTTTGTACAGAGCCTTGTGATCTCCAAGTGCAAGGCACTTTAGAAGTGTAAATTATTATTACCTTCAGTTTAACACGTAGGCTTTTGGGACAAATATTATCCATGAGTGGGGTTTTTTTGGGGTAGATATGTAGATATAAATGTGTCATTGAACCCGCCACAGAAAACATTTATATTAACGCGAACTAAAAAAAAACCTCTTAAGGATATTACCTGTCCTGTTGATTTGAGGTCACAAAAGCGCATAATGAGACACGCGCAGCAGGCAGCAGTGGCACGGCCTTTGTGCTGCAGATACAGCCACAGGCCGACTCGGTGATTATAAAAATCTAAATGACTAAATTGGTCACGTAAAAACCAGTCGAACAATGATCCGGTGTCATGAGGACTTGCTCACCACGTGAGACTCTGCTGCGGTGAGCAAGGGCTGCTTCTCGGGCAGCGGCACGCCCGACGGGTCCAGCTTGCGCAAGCGGCGGGACAGCTTGCGCAGGGGCAGCGGCGGCTGCTTCACCTTCACTCTGGAGCTAGGGTGGGGGGGGAATGGTAACGGTCTTGGTTTAGATTGCACAGCGGTAACTCTTGCGCCCAATGGCAAGAAGCGCCTGGGTTGGATTCCCGACACCGGTGCCATTCTGTGTGAAGGTTCTATTCCCACCCCCCCATAGGCTTTGTCTGGGTTCTCCAGTCTCCTCCCATAGCTAATCGTATGCAATTATATTCTGTTCTCACCCATGACGGCAGCAACACGTTTAGCAGTTACAGTATATGCCAATGTCGAGGTCCGCCAGCCACGAGAGGGCTTCAGCAGAGGAAATGTGTAGTTTTGTTATTCCGCTGTTGAAGGAGCACAGACTACAGTGGTTTATTTTAGGGTCCATAATTTGGGTTGCACAGCCAAAATAACCCGGCTTGTCTTTAAATTTACATTAGTGAAGATGTGTGCATCGTCGGCCTGTTGATATTCCAATATGGTTGATGGTTACACCAACGTCTTCGAGGAGGAATGTCAAAGCCAGGAGGTGTGATGTTTGGATCTTGAAAGAGTTTTTTTTTATTCTGGATGTCTGCGTTGTTCAAGAGCATCCTTCTGGATATGGGTGAGATTCTAGGGTGATGACAGCGCGATCCCAGAGGGGCGCATCAGGACTTGAGCCAGCAGCAATGTACATTTTTGAGGTCTTCGTTGATGGTTAAGGATGTTGTTGGCTAAGAAAAATGTGTAAATTGCCTTGCAGTTTGCACGTCTCTGCAAATATTTAGTGGAAGGCGCTTTATCTTAGTGAAATGGACGTCATTTATTTGAATTGCATGGCATGTCACTGGTGTTGATCACACATTCCAGTGCAGCAGGAGCCCTCTAGAAATATTCTCTGGACTTAGTATGACTCTCCTATGCAAAGTAGTAACTAATATTATTATGTTAAAAATGAGTGAGAATGGAGGGAGTCCCTCAAAAGAACAGAATGTGAACACACCTGTGTGAACGTTTATTAACTTCTTTCAGGCTCTCCACTTCCTGCATGAAACAGTGAGAACACGTACACACACACACACAAAGACACGCACATCAGTATTATTGGGAGATATCCGAACGCCCCCCCCCCCGGGGTACTAACATGTCACGGTTCTGTTTGCAAGTGTCGCCACCTTTTGAATGTTGAGAGCCGCAAGGAACTTTGCATTCTCCTGGATGTTCCGAAGTCTCTTGCGCTCGGAAGATGACAGCTGCTCCATGCCGGCCTGCCAAGGGTTTCGCGCATAAGGTGGCATCAGCACTTCACAGCCTACGCACCAAGCTCAAGTTTGTGTTTGGTTAAACCAGCTGGCGAACTCAAAGAGACCAGGACAAGAGTCTCATTTGTAAGAGTGATTCGGGTCACCAAAAAAGTACAACATTAACTAAGCAAAATTGGAGCAAAAATCAACCAAAGATAAATGTTAGCAATAAACCACCGCATTATAGAAGAAATCGTAAAACAATGCACAAACATATTAAGCATGATGGATTTTCTCTTTCAAAAGTGGGCTCAGACAAATTACAGGAAGGCCTCGACATCCACGAAGATTAGGTTCTTGACAATCTGCACGAAAGTACAATTCCCGAATGTGGATACGATGTTGATATGGGAGAAAGGGGGTTATGGTTCTCGAGTCGAACTGAACATACAGGAGAACATGAAATGTTTCATAATATTATTCCCGTACTGTACACATAAATTACATCCATATAATTAATTAAATTTTACAAAAGTACAAATAGATAATAACACAAATCATACACAACCCTCAAATAAAATACCCTAAATTTTAACATTTACCGTAATTCACTTTGGGTGATAATGGGGGTGTGATGATGGTACTATTGTGGCGGTCAACGGTGCACTTCCAGCCACACTTTCCCAAAACGCCTTCTCGTTTTTTTCCTTTATAAAACCGTTGACTCGTTTACCATGGGATGGCGGCCAACAGCAAACGCACTACAGCCATGGTGAGCAAGTCTATCCAACACAACTTTCCTTTTTGAGCTAAGCTCGTGACTTTTTTATGGCTTTTGATCTATTTTTTAATCTCTCTTTTCCACACTCAATTGACGCTTAGACCCCCCCCCCCCCCATTGATTGAAATAAAAAAAACACCACCAATAAGGCAAATACAGCGCACAAAAGGCAACGGCACTTGAAGACTAAAAGCTCCAGCATGTGTATGATGGGCACACGATCCACAATACACTACTGTACTGTGCAAGTAAAGTATCCCTCCCCCAAGATGCGATCATGCCAAATCGCGAATCGTTTAAGGAAAAAGGGGCGAACTTTCAAATGGTATGCAAATATTAAAACATTGAACCTAAACTATTTAAACGATTTTTTATTTTACCAGGTAAGGCCCACCGAGCTATGTAGCTCAAGTAGTGGCTTATTACGTGGACATTTATAGCAGCCAAAAACTCTAAACGCATGTTTCTAAGTGTGGAGGGAAAAACCGGAGTACCCAAAGAAAATTCACACGACAACGGAGAGAGATAGGCATGCAAACTCCAAATATACAGCAGGCGTCGGAGTCACATCGTGAATAATCGAATCTCACAAAAGAAAAATCCACGAAGAGGTCTAACTGTACTTTACAAACCAAAGTCGAATTAAGTTACAGAAAACTCAACGTGGGTTTACGGTGATGACATGAGCGTTTATTGAACAGGCCAATGCACACGTAGAGCATCGCATGGCTGATGCCCCACCGGACTCGCACGCGTCCCCAATTATTGTTATTGGCATTTGTACCTAGCAACCAAACCTTTGCGAAGGAGAGACTGGTAAATTCAGGAAGTCAACCATTAACTGTCCCTTTGTGTGCTCGCAAACCGGGATGAGCGGTGAATTCTTAAATGTAATTCGGGAAGCGTTTTGCGACGTCCCTACATAAGTGTGTAAACAGACAAGAACATGTGTCCCATGCAACCGCAAGTACATTATCATATCAGGCTTCAGGGACCTTGCACATGCAGAGCCTGGAAAGAGTTTATGATGTGGGGTGCCTAATGAGGCTATAATTGCGTGGATAGGAAATAAGGGTCTGGGCAGCAGTGGCCTGTGAGACTTGGGGAAGTATTGCGCTGCATAGTCTACGGCCTGGCATTTTAATGCCAGGCCGGGTGATGTATTCACCATTTTAAAAAGGGGGGTCACATTTTCCATGTGAAAGGAGCATCACGGTTGAGGCTCTAAACATCTAATTGGACTAGGGAGCACATCTCTTTACCCCACAAGTCATCTACCCAATTGAACCCACAGGTAATCTACCCAATTGAACTCACCTCCATTTCAGAGTCGCTGCTGCTGCTACTACTGCTGCTGGAGTTAACATTGGCCGCTGCGTTGCTTGTCACGGCCGGAGGGCACGGAGGAGCCGGGTCCAGCCTGGGTGCAGCAGTGCCCTGGAGGGCGGCCATGGGTAGCGACAACTCCTCCAGATCCAGCGCCGCCACTTTGCGGGCACGGCCGAGCAATTCGCTCTGATTCACGCCGACTCCTGCACGACAGTTGCAGCCACGTCTCACCCTGCAGGCCCGCAGTAGCCTCACACACCCTGGGATGAGTTGTAGAGACTGGATGCTGCATGTGCGAAGAACCCGGGCACGCAAAGTGACTAAAATTTTGCAAAATTTGGACCATGACGCCAGCGCGCAATGGAATATTCGTGCCGAATTACGTCACGGGATGTTTTAACGTCCACTGCAAAGCAGACAGCTAGTAGTATTTGAAAGGTTAACACGCACCGCTGTACGAGCAGTCCTCCACTCGCTAACGGATTCCGTTCCTGAGACCCGTTCGTAAGTCAAAAGGTTCGTAAGTCAGAACACAATCATGTACTGTATTCAAATGCACATATGGTTAGTGTTGCAAAATGTGTTGCGATTCAGCATTGTTAAACTCATAAGAAGAAACATTGTACACTTGCATATAATACTGTAGAGTAAAGAAAGCCTAACATAAAGTAACATAAATAGAAAAAAATCTGTTCCTGATGCTGGCTTGCTTGTTGGAAGCGGAGTAATGAGTCCCCAGAATTTCACGCAAAAAAAGAGAAAGACCCCTGTGTAGCCTTAACAGACTGTTGGGGCAAGTGCTGTTCGCGAGCACCTGTGAAGGCCGGCACGGCACACGAGGGGGTAGGTGGCCAACACCATACCGAGCCACCTTTGACTCCAAATGGTGATGTTTACACACCACACCCGGCACTCAATTGAGGCTGAGTCGACCTAAGGGAGGCCCAGGGCCCATTCAAATAATCATCACCGGTGTTGGTCGTGAGCGGGAATATAACTCGGGTCACTGGGTTGGTAGCACAGCGCGCTAACTGTAGCACGTGGGAATGCGCATGCGCGCACGCACACAAAGATCCCCCATATAGCCTGACCAGACTGTTGGGGCAAGTGCTGTTTGCGAGCACCTATGAAGGCCGGCACTGCACTAGAGGGGGTGGGTGGCCAGTGCCACGCCCGACCGCCTTTGTAGCCCAGTGCGTTAATCACCTCAACCTAGGCGAGACCCAGGACAGGTTCAGATAATCGTCACTGGTGTTAGCCTTGAGCGGGACTCGAACTCGGTTCACCGGGTTCGTAGCGCGCACACACACACACGTTCACACACACATACATGTGCGCGCACACACACACACAGACACTCACTCCCAGTGGGATGCTGTGACTCATTACACCTCGTGGAGGATCGCTCCACTGACCAAAATAGTTCCGCGGTTTAGTTCGCACAAGTGCGAGTTCACCAGCTGGTTACATGATAAAAAAAAATTATCATTGAAGATGGTTCGTAAGTACAGATGTTCGCAAGTCGATGACTGCCGTATTCACCAGGTCGACCCGCCGAATTGAACCCGCGAACCTCTGTCGCCACCACTAGGCAACATCATCCACTGCGGGGGCATCACCTTGACTCTGGTAGGCACTGATCTCTGCTGGCCCTAACAACATGGACTGGCGCCTGCGAGGCCGCGTCGCCATGGCCGCGCTCAGCCCCTCATCCACCACAAAGGATGGCACTAGGTCCGAGACGTTCCGCTTTTGGACCAGCCCCCGGCGCCGGCTGGAGTCGAGCTCAGCCTGTGAAACACCGATACAACACGCACACACACGGGTGAAGTTACCCAGCAGGTGAGGATTCACGCAGGTGGCCAGATGGCTGCACATTCGGTTTTGCCTTGTGGGGAACGGTAGTGCAGTGATTAACGCACTGGGATACGAACCCGGCGACCCAATATCGACGCAGCCTAAAATGAGATGTTGTGATGTGTAAAACATCGCCGCAATGTAGACAAAGGCGGTAGTGGTGCTGGTCACCCACCCCCTCGTGTGCCATACTGGCATAGATGCTTGCTAAAAACACTTTCCCCAACAGTCTGTGAAGGCTATATAGGGGATATTTGTTTTTGTAACATTCGGGTTTCATCTTCCTCCGACTCAATGTTGACAAAACCAAAGTACTCTCCTCAGTGGCAAAAGGTTCACATGCAGACTCCAGTATGAGCGTGCACCTCCAAAACATTGCAGTGGAAAAAAATGTGAAACCTTGCAGTTGCCAGCACACATACTGCATCTCAACTCTACACGTCTCCAAAATGCTCTACGGCCTTTCTCCTCCTCCCTCATCTCACAATGCTTCCCTGCACGCACTCACCGACCGCTCTCCTCTAACTCTACTCCCCTCCGTGCACTCTCTACCCCCAATCCGGAACCGCCTTCCCCTATGTTGACGACCTGTCCCGGTTCAAGTCTTGGCTCCAGATCTTTCCTTCCTCCCTCTGCCTACGACTGCCTTGACACAATGTGCCCAGTGTGTCTCTAAAGCATCTGTAGAGATACTGTCCCACTTGGATGCGATGTAAACCCAAACTGCATGGTATTTTAGCTACCGTGGATGGGTGATGGGCTGAGGCAGCCCCTTACAGGGCTAGCTGCCCTGTTGGCCAAACACAGCATTATAATTGATGAATGTCCAGAGGTTTTTTTGGGTTACATCGTGTAAATATTCACGTATCGTTAAACCCACCACCACCAGACACAGCCAATTCGTAATGTTTGTCACGTAAACAAAACATGCCAATTCGTTACTAGTACAGCACACCAGTGCGTTGGAGAGTAAGCACACGTTAAAAAAATCGAGGACGTTTCACCAGTAATTACGAGCATCATCAGGCGACAGCCAGATTTGTGGTGGTGGCGGGTTTAACGACAGATTTATATTCCTTGTAAAAGGTTTCAGTTTGGTGTTTTAACATCTTAACACCTGTTTTGTTGTTATTTTATTTTCACCTACGTGACTTTACCCAATAGAACCAAAGAGTACCTATGTGTTAAATTGATGAATGTGTTGAGTTGTTTTGTTGAATGAGCATTTAGGCACCCTCAACTCCTATTTACAGTCTTAAGCCATTGTTCGAAATTCCACGTTATTATGGCGGGGGTGAGTGCATCCATTGGGCAACCACTGTTAAACTTCCCCACAAGTTGGTACTCGTAACAGCGCATAAACGCGAGAATACAATGGACCTAGTACCGGGTAAAATACAGGAATCCTCCACTATAAATAAGGAATGCATTCCTGGGAAATGCTACTTAACTCGAAATTACTTTCAATGAACTCGAATTTCCCATACACATGTTAAAATCTTGGGTTGCGTTCCTAGCTGACATTTCTGGAAAAAAAGTGTGACTAAATATCAGGAAGTGTACAAAATGCACATTATTATAATGTACATTAATGTTAATGAATAATAAATACAAATAATTGGTTGAAAGGGGCTTGTTGATCAAGGCCTTTTGGGGTAATCAGTGGTGGCGTTATACAGACGGAGGAGTAGGATCACCACCTGCCTCTTCATCTAATGATGAATCTGGAGCTACAGGAATGTTGACCAGAGAAAGCTGGCTTTTTTGTGGGGGGGGGGGGGGGGGGGGTGGCATTTAGAGAGAAGCGAATGCATTTTGTCATCAAGGGTTGTCGGAGCTGTGTGCTCCGCGAAAATATTTGCATAGACTGAGTGGTCCGCCGGCCAACATTAAGTTTGAGAAACACCACTGTAGTTGATGTGGTGTAGTTGTTGCTGCTGCCGCGGCTGGTGATGATGTACATCGCTGCGGTGGTCAGGCACGGCCATGGCGCGCGATGTGATCCGTACGTCAACACTTTTTCCAAGCTGATATCAGAGACGTAGGGGGTGGGGTTAAAGTCAATCAGCTCAACCATCCGGTCACCAAACCTCTACCCTTCACCCTACCCTCATCCGTGCCCAGCCATAGCACCGATCTACACATTGCCGCTGCACGCGTGAACCCCGTAGGTCGCACCCATCTGTCGCCCTCAATCCACCTCCTTCCCTAACCCCGACAACATCAGCAACCTCCGTTCCCAGGTCCCGTCCCTCCATGCCTTCCGTCACCACCCTCACTGACGGCCTCTCCACCCCACCCGTCGCTCCCCCTCTTTGCCCCCCGTGTGTTCCGCCGTCGGCTTGCGTTGTAAAGCGCCCTGGATAGGGCGCTGCTATATACATCTTAAATATAACACGACACGGATAACGCAAGACAGCTATTACACAACAGCCGAGGCCTAACGCAACACAAAGCTGGCACGCGCAACAGGAGGCACAGCACAATGTCGGCAACACAAAGGTTACATCGCGCGGCGGGGCAACAGGTAAACTACACCAAGGTTACACAACATAAAAGTAGCACACCGCACTGCACAACACAAACGTTACACAACACGGGTGACATAACAAAGCCGCGGTGCCAACACACGTGTGTACACGACAGGGGACGCGATACAATTGTAACACAAAGGTTACAAAACACAACAGTAACACAACACCACGAACACACAGAACACGCACCACACGCCCGGGGACGAGCCACAGGCAGCTAACGCACGCGGGCGCCGAGTGGTTGCGCGTCTCGGGCCGTGCATCGCGGCCACGCGGCGGCGGTGGTGGTGGCGGTGGTGACACCGGCAGCACTCACGCGTGGGGAACTCATGGTGATAGCGAGACGAAGCCTCCACTTTCTCCAGCAACAACAGCCACCGCCACCAAGCGCCACCAAGCGCCTCAGCCACCAAGCACCACCGCCACCAAGCACCACCAAGTACCACAGCCACCACCACCAAGTACCACAGCCACAGCCACCACCACCAAGCGCCACAGCCACCACCACCAAGCAAAATCGCCGCCGGTTTCGGCGCCTCGCGGCCCCGCAGCCCGCGATTGGTGGGAGGGAGTCCACGGAGGGAGGTCCACGGAGGGAGGTCCACGGGCCCGGGCCAATGGGCGATGCCGTCGCCACCCCCGCGCGGGCGGGGAGGAGCGGATGGAGGGGGGCGGGAGACTGGTGGGTGGTGGGGACACTGGTGGGGGGGACACTGGTGGGGAGGGGGGACATTGGTGGGGGGGGGGACACTGGTGGGGGGGGGGACACTGGTGGGGGGGGGGACACTGGTGGGGGGGACATTGGTGGGGGGGGACACTGGTGGGGGGGGGGGGACACTGGTGGGGGGGGGGACACTGGTGGGTGGTGGGGACACTGGTGGGGGGACACTGGTGGGGAGGGGGGACATTGGTGGGGGGGGACACTGGTGGGGGGGGGCACTGGTGGGGGGGGACACTGGTGGGGGGGGGGACACTGGTGGGTGGTGGGGACACTGGTGGAGGGGACACTGGTGGGGAGGGGGGACATTGGTGGGGGGGGACACTGGTGGGGGGGGGACACTGGTGGGGGGGGGACACTGGTGGGGGGGGACATTGGTGGGGGGGGACACTGGTGGGGGGGGGACACTGGTGGGTGGTGGGGACACTGGTGGGGGGGACACTGGTGGGGAGGGGGGGCATTGGTGGGGGGGGGGACACTGGTGGGGGGGACACTGGTGGGGGGGGGACACTGGTGGGGGGGGGGACACTGGTGGGGGGGGACACTGGTGGGGGGGGACACTGGTGGGGGGGGGGACACTGGTGGGTAGTGGGGACACTGGTGGGGGGGACACTGGTGGGGAGGGGGGGCATTGGTGGGGGGGGACACTGGTGGGGGGGGGGCACTGGTGGGGAGGGGGACACTGGTGGGGGGGGGACACTGGGGGGGGGGGGACACTGGTGGGGGGGGGGGACACTGGTGGGGGGGGGACACTGGTGGGAGGGGGACACTGGTGGGGAGGGGGACACTGGTGGGAGGGGGGGACACTGGTGGGGGGGGGACACTGGTGGGTGGTGGGACACTGGTGGGGGGGGGGACACTGGTGAGGGGGGAGACTCTGGTGGGGGGGGGACACTGGTGGGGGGCACTGGTGGGAGGGGGGGACACTGGTGGGGGGGGGGGACACTGGTGGGGGGGGACACTGGTGGGGGGGGGGGGACACTGGTGGTGGGGGAGGACACTGGTGGGTGGTGGGGACACTGGTGGGGGGACACTGGTGGAGGGGGGACACTGGTGGGGAGGGGGGGAGACACTGGGGGGGGGGACACTGGTGGGGAGGGGGGGGAGACACTGGTGGGGGGGGGGACACTGGTGGGGGGGGGGACACTGGTGGGGGGGGACACTGGTGGGGAGGGGGGGGGAGACACTGGTAGGGGGGTACTGGTGGAAATGATTTTCAGTATTTTGTCACAAGACGTTGGTCATTTGAGCCCGGTCAAGGGGTGCTTGCGTAGCCGCAAACGGGGGTAGTTTTGGTATTATGGGACAGATTATGGCCTCTGTAAGGTTTGGGGACATCGAATTGGTGGGTTCCATCTTGGTCTCAAAGACATTGGCCGTGCCATGTCTTTTGGGCACAGACTTTTTGGCCAGAATGCCTCTGAAGCTCTTAGTCGATCAAGGCTGTATGGAGATGTCGTCGAGGCGCCGATTGAAGTTTTTGGATTCCCCCACTCGGTTGACGTCTATGGCTGCCAGTATCCAGGCTCTGGCTAAGGAATCGGTGAATATTCCACCAGGTACTCAAATGCTTGTACCCTTGAGGTTGTCCTCTTGACCCCCTCTAATTTTCGATTTAAAGCTTTCGTGACTGCAAGGATTCATCTTCTTTGGTTCTTTCGGTAAAGTCACGTAGAATGAGAATAAAATAATAAATTGATAAAATAAAATAACACAATAATATTCTCACGACGTTTTGGCCACAACACAAGCGGCCTTCATCAGGTGAAGGGACGAGACTGTCTGGAGGACAGCGCTGGAGTGAAAAAGGCACGCTCAGATCGCGACCTTTAAGCTGTGTGAGAAGAAACAAAGCGCCTTGACAAAGGAATTAGCATAGAATTTAGCATTCAAATGGCTGAGTGATTAGCTTGTGACTGGTCACTGAAATGGCTATGTTAAAGTTAAAGCATACACATCCGCAGAGGCACCCCTTGACAAAGGAATTAGCATAGAATTTAGCATTGAAATAGCTAAGTTAAAGCATACACATCCGCAGAGGCACCCCTTGACAAAGGAATTAGCATAGAATTTAGCATTGAAATAGCTGAGTGATTAGCTTGTAACTGGTCACAGAAATAGCTATGTTAAAGTCAGAGCATATACATTCACAGAGGCACCTAGTACAAATCAAACAGGAGAATTTAGCATTGAAATAACTAGGCGAATTTAGCATTGAAATAACTGAGTGATTAGCTTGTGACTGGTCACAGAAATAGCTATGTTGAAGTCAAGGCCTACACATCTGAGCTATTCACAGTAACTGGGTATACACTACAATATATAATGAATACTATATAGTGAACCAATAAAAAACTAAAATGTAAATTACCTCAATGTTATCAATAAACTCTATATATTCTCCAATCAGCTAAGCTACAAACAATAAGTCGTTATATATCACAACGCTATATGGCGAAAAAAAATGGGTGGATTCTTACCCTCAACTTTAGCAACACGGATAGCTATGGGCCCCGTTCAGACGGACGAGTTCATCCATGGTCGGAACAGAGGAGGGGGAGAGAGACAGCTGCGAGACGCTGTTATGCTCCATGTTGTAAACCATACCATTAACCGTGGTGTGAGAGGTATTAAGAGTCAATGCCAGCGAAAGAGCTGCGGTCTGAAGGTCATCGTAAAATACAATTAATTAAGAACGGAAATGGTTTAAAACATCTTTCCAATGGTTACTAAGCCAGAATCCATCTTCTCGGTTGAAATTGTCTCTGTGCTTGTATATGTGAATGGCCTCATGAACAAATCTCTTATGGTAGCCGGTTGGTTTGCAAACAACCTCCGTCTTGGATAAGTCAATGTCATGTGAGCCCACTGAATTATAACAGTGATCTGCCACGGCACAGGAGTTCGTTCTACCGTGTTTCAAGTCTGCTTTATGTTCGCGGATGCGGTCCGAGATATGTCGTTTGGTTTCTCCAATGTAGCTACTACCACAGAGGCACTTTAGTTTGTAAACGCCCGGGTACTGTATGTCTGGAACAGCATCTTTTACAGATGGAACTAGATCACGAATTTTATGTACTGTGTTGAATCGGACCTGGATCTTGTGTTTATTCAGGATTTTGGAGATCTTTTTCAGACGGACGATTTCCAAAATACTCTTTGGTTCTATTGGGTAAAGTCACGTAGGTGAAAATAAAATAACAAAAAATCACGACGTTTCGGCCACAACAAAAGCGGCCTTCATCAGGTGAAGGGACGAGACTGTCTGGAGGACAGCGCTGGAGTGGAAGAAGCCACGCTTAGATCACGACCTTTAAGCTGTGTGAGAAGAAAAAGACCACGCGCCTTGACAAAGGAATTAGCATATAATTTAGCATTGAAATGGCTCATTGAAATAGCTAAGTTAAAGTATACACATCCGCAGAGGTACCCCTTGACAAAGGAATTAGCGCTGGAGTGGAAGAAGCCACGCTTAGATCACGACCTTTAAGCTGTGTGAGAAGAAAAAGACCACGCGCCTTGACAAAAATGAACGCTCTGAACTCGCGAATTTAAAAAACAGAAGTGATATAGTCATCCTCTCAGCCGATAAAGGCAACGCTACTGTTATTATGGATAAAGATTCATACAACAACAAAATCCAGAATCTGCTCAACGATGGAAGTTACTCAAAAATAAAAAATGACCCTACTAATAGCCTAGCGATAAAAACCAACAAGATCATCACAAGTTCGACCTCCCTAATCGACCCAACTAAACGTCCCTCCCTAAAACCTTCTGCTGCAAGACCCCCTAGATTCTATGGTCTTCCCAAGATTCATAAAGAAGGCACCCCACTTCGACCCATCGTATCCACGATCAACTCCCCTACCTATAGACTAGCCTGTTTTCTGTCAGATACCTTGCTGCCTTTCACTGGCAAGACTGCCTCAGCAGTACTCAACTCAGCCCAATTGGTCTCTATGGTCAAAGACGTTGTACTGTCCCCTGATGATATCCTTGTCAGCTTCGATGTGGTCTCTTTGTTCACCAAGGTCCCAGTACCTGATACCATTGAAATAATTGAAAATTTGGTCCAACATGGACTAGACCCCGACACACCTGCACTGGTTAGGCACTGCCTCAACAATACCTACTTCACTTGGAATGGCTCCTTCTACAAACAAAATGAGGGTCCCCCCATGGATCCCCCTTATCACCAGTGATAGCCAATATTTTCATGGAGAAATTTGAATCAGACGCCATCCAGACTTCCACCTTCAGACCTTCCCTGTGGAAGAGATATGTGGATGACACTTTCGTCATTTGGCCACATGGCCTCCCAGCTCTGAACCTTTTCCTACACCACATCAATTCCAGACATCCCGCCATCAAGTTCACCATGGAAGTGGAGAAAGATGGCAAGCTACCATTCTTAGATGTTCTGTTTGAGAGGAGACCTGATGGCTCATTGGGGCATTCTGTCTACAGGAAACCCACCCACACAGATTCCTACTTGAAACCTGATTCCCACCACCACCCAGCCCAAAAGAATTATCTCATCAAAACTTTATACCATAGGGCACATTGCATTTCGGACCAACACCACCTGACCAGTGAATTAAAACATGTACACCTGGCCCTCAAAAGGAATGGTTACTCTGACCGTACCATCCGCCAAGCTGTCTCTCCCTCCATACAGAAACAACCACTTGATACTCCGGTCAAAACCATCACACTTCCATATATAGCAGGTGTTACTAAAAAG